GAGCTTGTTGCCTCTAAGGAGTCCAAGTGGATAAGCCCATGAAGGCCTAGAGGGGAGAAAACTTTTCTGAATTGGACATTCACTGTGATCACTGTAAAGTTTATATTTCTCATGTAAAGATGGGGTTAATATGGTACGGACAAATACCTCAGCTGAAGATCATTCTTAGCTCTGTAACGAAGCATTTACTCATCTGCAGTTCTGGAGTTTACATTCTGTTTGAAAGGCAGAGATGAAGGTGTGGCCATTTTCCCAGACTTCCTTTGGGTTGTGGGTTACTCAGCACAGCCTTTTAATTGCTTTTTTTTTTAAATAAAGAGATTTGAAGCTAATCACTTTCTAGTTGGAGCTCCCCTACTGGGAGCTTGGCATCTTGCATGAGGATGTCCACAGTTTCACAGAGCAGGCTCTCTGGCAGGAATAAGAGCACAGGCTGTGTGAGGTGAACCTGCTGGCTGAGTGCTGAACTACCTCGGCTCCAGCAGCTCTTGTCTTAGTGCATGTCTCTTGGAAATGAAAGAATGAGCAAAGTGAAACAATCTCCTGGTTCTACTGCCCCTAAAAGACTGTTGTGCTGATTTTAGGACTGACATTTTCCAAGGATGGTCATTGCTAAAGCTTCAGTCTAAGCAGTGATTCTCAGTCTGTATCAAAACTGGCATTGCTTTCAATATTCTCTTAATCTTTTTAATTATTTTCCAGGTAAATTGAGAACGTCCTCCTGCTGGAAGTTGTCTCAGTGCAATGTGAATGATATTGCTGTATTCTATCAGTTGGATAACTTTGATTACTTTTGCTGCCAACAAGACTTGTGCAATGAGGGTGCAATTACTGGGGTTAACAAGGCAGCTTTCAGTATTGCTTCTGTAATAGCCATGTTATGGATGCTTCTGTAGCAATCCTGGTCTGTATGCTGTCTTTCCAAGCTGAAATTACACAAAATCATTATTAACTCTTTTCTCAGTTGTACTTCTTGCAGTTTCAGTTGAAGTTTGAAATACTTTGAAATACTACAGTTTGAATACTTTGAAATACTACAGTTTCAGCTGAAATAAGGCCTTTTAATTTTCAATTCTGTTTTTTAAGGTTCCAACTGGTAAACTGCTGTCTCCATTTGTGTGAAGGAGACCAATATTGTTAACATTTTCAGGAAGTTTTGGCATGGCATCTGCTCAGTGGAAATACCTAATTCTGAAGTAGTATTACATTGTGGAGGACCTGGGCAGACCTTTGAGGTTGATATGGAAATGAAGGAATAATGTATGTTTTGTGATGGAAAACTGTAATTTCTTACTGTAGCATGAATTCTAATTAATTTTGAGATTTTGGTTCTTTTGGATGCTACCTTTTCATACACAAAGCAGTGAGTTTACCCTCAACACAACAGTGTTGAATCATATGCATAAACTTGCTGCAGTATCCATGAAGTTTTTGTTTTTAGGTGATGCAGACTCTTTGTTCCAATATCCAGTATCAATGTAACATTTTTTTTTCACTTGTACAAACCAATAACATAACGGTCAGTACCATTATTTTGGAGGAAAGCATCTAACTTTCTTAAAACAAAACCAAAATAATGCTTTTAGTGAGGAAATCACCTCCTTTCTTTTATATTTCTGTGGGCCTGCAGATTACATATGCCAGCTTCTTTTTTGAGCTTTCATTTTACAGTTTAGTTTTGCTTATATTTTTTCTCCAAGTCTAGGATTTAAGCTAAGCATGTGCTTTGCACTAAATATTTCTTAGTATACCAAAAATTGTTTATAAAATGCTAAGGAATTAAAATGGCACATCTAGTTTACTTTCCCGTGTAATCAGCTTTTGTTTTTGTTGAGACACATGAACAGGTAAACTTAATCCTTTAGGCTTCCATAAGAGCATTAAACAAAAGTTTGCAGACTTTTATATTTTGACCTTTGTGCAACTGTATAAATGGCAGTCAAAATACACATGCATCTAAATAGCATGAAGAATAATGCTCTGTTTGTGTGTGTACGACTTGTAGAGCTCGAACGCTGCACATTGTTTTGATTCTGTGGTGGAGGCAGACCTTTGGTGCTTCCCCTGGTCTTAGGGAGCCTCTCAGTTAAGTATGATGCCACATTTTCCTTTGACAAGTTTGGAACTTTTAGCATGTTCTCGCAAGAGTCTACAGCCAATGGTATATTCTTTTCTGAGGGCTCTGGCTTGTGCTTTCCGGGGTGTCAGTGATACTGGCTCACTCAGTCATAACAAAGGCAAGGGACTGCATTGTGTTACTCCAAACCATCATGTATTCTGCAAAGCACCTTTTGGCTAAGCTTACCTTAGCTATGAAAACATCCTGGGATCTCTCTGGTCACTCAAAATATGAAAGCTACGCTGTCTTTGATTAATAAAAATGTAAAAAAGAAAATGTGAAAAGTGTGGTTATTTAAGAGCACACTACTTACAGCCCAATGTAGTTCTCATTTCCAAGCAAGATGCATCTGTACTTTCCATCTGGAGACTCTCCTTAAATGTGAGCAAGGCTTCTCTTATTTCTGACCAGGAGGTGGCTGCTACATATAATCAGTGAGTTTTGGCAGAGTGATTATAGCTTTTGGGAGTTGTTATGCTGGGAAACAAAGAGGGTTAGCAGTCTTTCTCTAAGTGAAGTAGTACTGGTATGACACAGGAGGGAAGCAGTAGAATATGTGGCCTAAGAGATGTGAATCTCTTAGGAATGTCCTGTTGAAAATACTAATTTCCCATCATTTGGGAAAGAAGAGTTGTCAGTGCCAAAGCATATAATATAGCATACTTTGGTAGAGGTACAACATTCCTATGGGAAAAATAATAAAAGGTGATAGAGCTGAGACATTTTAGAAAGAACGTGGAGAATTTGTAGGAAAAGGGAAGTTTAAAAAAGGGGAAAAAGCAAACAAAAAAAGGATTAATATTTAAAAGACTTAACAAGAAGAGTTAATTCTGTAATCACAGAGGTAATAAATTTCTGTGGTAGTAAAGGAAGGTGGTAAAACCTTCCTTATTATGAGGATGGGTAGCAAATATTTTGTGTGATTAACTGTGTTCTGTGAGATGCAGGTTAGTGCCTGTGGCTGTCTACATTACCATGGAGTCTGGGGTAACATGTCACTGTTTTCTGGGTTTTGTTGTCATTGTTTTCTTTAGTTTTTTAAATTATCTAAATTGTTTGCTCCATTCTAAATTAGTTGCACAATTAAAACCCAGTATTTATCTGTTTACCTTTGAGCATGCTATATTTGTCAATACTGAGAAAGCAGAGAGCTCAGCAGAAAGCTGAGCAAGAAATTTCTTCCCACTTCTGATTGGATTGAGAGAAGTGAGGAGGCTAACAAACCAGGAGCAATTCCTCCTAAATGTGGAGGAATTGCTAAGGAGGTAAGGAAGTCCCAACAGAGAAATCTCCACACGTCTCTGAGGGACGTGTAGCTTGCTGATGAGTAAAATGAGCATTAGGGCTGAAGGGAGTTCATAACAGGGAAGTTAGGCTGGAAGGCACACAAAAACACTAAAGCCAATTATTTGTGAGATGCACATTGTTCTCCCAGCATGCTGTACTTTCAGACTTAATGATGCAATTTTAATATCACACTAACAGGACCTTGATGCAGCACACGGCATTTTGGAGTGGGAGAACCAAGCAGTGGATTTGGCTGTTGGGGCTCCAGAAGCAAGCAGGGTGTCATTTCCACTCCCATCTTTCTAAGACTAGTTGATACATTGGGTTAAAGGGTAAGGAAGACTTGTGGATGATACAGTCCTCATGAGTTTATATGCTGTGTGGATTATTACATAGGTCGATTCACACTGCAAAGAAAAGTTGAAGTTTAAGGAAGTTTCGGCCTCTTTCACTGAATTGGAACCATTAAAAAATATTTGGAGCAAAGATGTAGATAAGTTTTCTGAAGCAGTTTCCGAAACTAATTTTCAAGAATCCCTTAAGAAAAGGTAATACAAACAAGGAGCAATGAAGCAACAGGCATCAAAACGCAGCGTTCCTCAGGCAGCACTTGTATGCACATTCCTATGTATGAGAGTGGAAAACTTTGTAATTCTGGGCCTGAAGAGGCCACAGGGCTGGCTGGACTCAGAGGCGTGTAAGCCTTCTATAGCTCCATCGTTCTCCATGTACATTCTCTTCCTGCTGCTCTGTTTTGCCTCAGAACCACAGAGGTTTCTTTATTTATGAGGTCAGTCATTTGCTGTTAGAATTTTTGAATTATAAATACAATGCAGAAAAATCTGTTCAGAAACAAATGAGGAAAACTACCTAAATGCAGATGGACTGTTACCTGTATCTTTTGAACTGTTACATCTGAAGCCTCTTTCCTGCACATGAAAATCTCTAGAACTGATCAAATGCCGGTCTTGTTGAAGTGGTTAGGAGTTTAGTTTTCGGTAAGATGCCTTCCAGCCCCTGTTTTTCAAATGCTGGCTAGTCCGAGTGTGTTGTGAGGGTGTAACACAGTGCTGTTGTTCCCATGCACGCGCTTCCCAAAGAAGCCTTTATTCCTGAGAGCATTCGTGCACGCGGTGCCGGGAAGCCCATGGCCGTGACGTGGCTGGGAATTTCAGTGGGAAGTGCCTGTGGGAGATCCTGGCCTCGCATCACACGACCCGGCAGCAGCTGGGGGAAAGGACCAGGCAGTCTTTGTAATAAATGGCGTCCTTAGTCACAGGGCACCAGCTGCGAACTGGAAAGAAGGGCACGCTGGGAAAAGCAACGACATTGTGACATTGGTCATATTGGGAAAGCTGTTCCACTTCATCTCCGAGAACACTGACGGTGCGGCTGTCGTTACACTACATCCGCATCCGCAGCGCACCGATACTCGCGGAGGTGCTCGTCTCTTCCCGACAAATCCTTCTCTCGTCAGTCATCGGCCGCCACGCTCCCTCAGGGCCGAGGTTCCTCCGCGCCGCCAGGGGGCGCTACAACACCGACGTGCCGCGGGGGGCGTGGCTCGCTGCCGTGCCCGGCGCTGCGGGGCCGCGCCGAGGCGCAGGCGGAGGAGGCGGTAGCGCTGCGTGGAGCCCGGCGCGGCTCGCCCGCCCACCGGCACCCGCAGGTGAGTGGGGCCGCGCGGAGCCATTTCGCAAGCTGGGGCGATCGGGTGAGGGGCGGAAGACCCGGCCGGGCCTCCTCGCTGGGGCTGTGTTTTGCCTCGGCCCTGAGCCTGAACGGGCCTTGGATGGATTGCGGTGACGGTGCTGGCGGCACTGCCAGGAAGTGTGTGCGGCCAGGAGGGATGGCCGGCTTTCCAGGGGAGCGTGATCTGTGTTCTCGAGGAGCTGTTTGTAACAAGCGCGTGTGATAACTGCGGATTTGCTGTTAAATCTGTATCGGGTAAAAGCAAAACTGTGCAGGTGCAGTGAGAAAATAAATACATGGACACGCTTTTCTTTTGGTCTCTGTGTTTAAAGCGCAAGTGTTCAAAGAATTGTATTAGAAGTAATAAAGCACTGTTGATAATCTTTCTACTGAAGACGTGTGAAAGAAGAGAAAGGGAGCACCACTGCCTTCCCTGGTAGTTCTGCCTCTGTTTGTTGCTATGTGCTTCTGTAGAGAAGGAGAAGAGTTCCCCTGATGCCTTCATATTGAAAGCTCAGTGAGTGTGCATGAAGCCATCCTTATATCAGAATGGCTTTGAACAGCCGTGGGGAAAGTGAGTGTGGGGGTTCTGTGACCTCTCACTGTACGTGCTGCTGCTGAAAGGAGCCCTGCCCATAGCTGTGTGCTCTTCATTGCCCCTTGTGCCAGGCCCTGACATAGCTGGCTCAGGGAAGTGAGCAGGCTGGAACTCCCCCAGCTGAATGCACGGTTAGATTTTTTTTAGCTGCACTTGACTGCAGCTGGAGCAGGACCAATAGAATGGACGATTGTGGAGCCAAAGCTGCCGGAGGAGCTTTTTTGTTTGATAAAATCCCATTGTGATAAGAGCTGAAACCTCAGTTGTCCTTGGAGCGTAAGGAGAAACTTCCTTCACTGCAGTTGAGGAAACCTTAGTTCCATCTCTTGGAGTTTGCAGAAAGTTTGAGTATGCTGCCTGTTGTTCCTTGGTGCACTGAGGGAGGTGAGCGTATAGTGCGTGACAGAGGATGATGGTCAGCATGGTAGGAAATGCAAGATGAAGAGCAGGATGAGGTACTGGCAGTGATGGAGCAGCGTGGAACATTTAAAGTGAGAGTGAGCAGGTAGATCTTGCAGCAGAAAGGCAAACACAGAGAAGGTAGCCACAGATCGTTTGGACTCTCAGCTTCTTTTGTGCATGATGACTGATAGTGCTGTGTCCAGTAAATAGGCTAGCACTGGAAGGACAGTTGGGATAGAAGACTTGATTTCAAGTTCTGTTTAAATAATACTGCAAGGAGAAAGGATTGTGCTGAGCATTCCAGCTGCAGCCTTGGTGCTTTAATTTGTTGTCAGTATAAGAAAAGCAAAAATCACTATTGGTTGGCTTCATGGTGGGTGAGAAATTTTTGTGTTTCCAAGTTAGTTTGGAAAACTTCTCAATATTTAGTAACCTTGCGATAAATAAAGATGATTGGGAAAGTGGCAGTTAAGGTATTCAAGTAGGAATGCTGGCACATGAAATGGCTGAAGGCAATTGCTTCAGTCAAAGCTGGAAATGAGCTGAAATATTCATAAGTAAAATGTAAATACACCACCATATTAATCCAGTGAGTCCCTTTTAGCTTCTCTGTACCTCAGTAACCCTTTTATGTATCTGGAAATGAGCTTTTTAATGAGAGCAGATTTGATGTTAGGGCTCTGGAGGAGTCATAGATAGGGTTTTTACTTTTAAGTTATATAATTTCTATCCCCGAGCCCATAGTTACTTTGTTGGTTTTAATGTTAGGAAAGAATCTTAGCATAATCCATTTTGACCTTGTAGATAACGTAGGCCATAGATTGCAGTCTGTGATTGCTGGTTTTAGCTTTTAGAAGATAAACATCTTTAAAAGCAGTCTCTACTATCATTCTGCATACTTTTTAAGGTAAGCTATGTGCTAATGTTTATAATAAACTGGTTTCCAAATTCAGTAGTGCTGACTGATCTGTGCGTGCATATTTCAAAAGTATGCTGTAGAGATGGGTGTTGCCAGTGGAGAGTGCAGATTATAGAACAGGTAGGGCTTGGCTTCTCACTTTGTGCTGCTGTTTGGAGTATTATCCAAACAGAGCAACATCTGTCTGTTCTTAATATACATCTCCACAGCACAGTCTGGTGTTTACAGCATGGGATATTTTGAAGGCTGCCCGTTTTTTTTCTCAGCCAGGCCTATCACTATTATGCAGGATTGTTCTTAACCCCTGAGCTGCCTTCTGTCCTTTTGTCCTTCAGGATTTTGCCGCTTTAGAGCCCTGAGTTGCCTTAATTTATGTCTACAGCTTTCCACAGCCAGAGACTACAATTATGTGTGTCTAATACTTTGTTACTATTTAGAAATCAGTGGTGCTTGCTGCAGAGCAAAGGAGCAAGGAATAAGTGCTGCTCCTGCAGCGTCAGCTGCTGGTATTTAATAGACTGATCAGTGACTTCAAGGGTTGCAGCACTGACTTTATTTTTCAGATGAAGATGGTCGCATGGCACGGAATGCAGGGTGGTGTTCTTTGAAGATTTTATGTGTGTGGTTTTATAGAACCACAAGTTGATATGAACCCTGTCATACTGCAGTGGCAGGCAGTGTTTAAGGTCTGGTTAAATATTAGCAGTGCTTCTATCTTTTATTTACATGTGGAAATAGCAACTATGCTGAATACTACTTTACAGTATTTACATTTTAAAGGCTTCTTTGGATATATATATTTTTAATAGCGTTGGCATCTTACAAGCTAGGAGTCAAAAGGCATAGTATGCATATTTTATACAAAATGTAATTATATCTTAGCAACTAGTAATGCGATGGAAATCAGAGGTGCTGTCACCATTGAACAAACAAGTTAGATTCAAATATTTTACTTTGAAATGTGCAGAGAGGACGAGTTGATTAGAGTTATCTGAGAGCCATTGATGTTCACTGTTGTGTTATTTCATTTATGTTTTTCATAGCCATCTTGAAACCATGTGGAAATGGGGTAGTGGAGATGATTCTCCTTCCAAAGCAGTAGTAAGTAATGAGCTACTTTTCAGTAATAATTTCTCTAATGGATGTTATGCTAATAATATGTATTTGTTCTTTCATAAAGAAGTTGCTTAATTGCTTTTACCATCATTCGCTTTTATGACTCTATAAGTCAAATTGGGTTCTTGCTTCCATTCTATGTGATATTTAATCATAACACCACTGCTCTGCTCCTCTTCATTATGCTTACATTGTTTTAAGAGCAAATTCAGAGAAATTTTATGGGCTTTATCCCAAGTGTGTTATTTGTGCATAGTGTTCAGTAAAATATTTTGTTACCTCTAGGTCCAGTAACAGTACTACTGGATGTCATGATGAAAATCCAGTAGTTAAGAAAGTTCAGCCCTTGTACATTAAGTTGCTCAACATTTGGTGTAGCTATTAATTATTTTCATGATTTGTTTAGCCGTTCAAAGTCAGTGTTGTTGACCCCCATAAAGGAAAAAAAAAAAAAGTTATTTTAAATGAACTATTGCTATAGTTACGTTAAAGCTTATTTTGAAAAAGTCTTAATGAGGGAAAGGTGAGGGATACTGTTTTTTACTTCTGCTTCCTTAAAAAATAAAGCTTTCTTTAAAGCCTCGAATAGAGTTAGCAAGATCCACTTGAAATCTTTCAGGTTTCTTTTTATGATTCCACACAGATCTTAGATTAGGGACAGAAGGGAAGGTTGCTGTACAAGAGAATCTATAAAGATGAGGAAAAGGAAGAAACTGCAAGGAATTTCTGAGGTGGCAAAATATAGGGATTTATTGGGTCTAAACAAAATGGTGGAATGGTCTGACTGAACCATAGTACAGTGAGGAATGTTCCTACTCTTTGCTGTAGATCATTACAGCTGTGTTGCGAGATCTTTTTAACATGGTTTTATATAACCCCTTCTGTTACTATATCTGTCAAACTAGCTATGACCAGTCTGGTATGTGCACATATAGTAGATGCATGTTTGAATGTTGTGTTCTAAAAAGATTTGCTGTATGTGTTCAGAAAACAAATGCACCCTCTTGCCTTTCAAGCCCCCTCCCCAACCCCCCCCCCCCCAAAAAAAAAATTGTACCAAAACAGGTGATTTTTTTGCACAAAGAGCATTGTCTGCACCATTTTGTTTGTTCAAAGTGTAGTTAATGTCTGCAGGCTGTGGGCTCACAAGATGCAAGAAGCATGTCGGTGACGGATTTGACTGAACAGCTGGCAAGTACTGAGCAGCTGGTAATACAGCTAAAGGAGCTTGTTCGAGAGAAGGATGCTGAGCTTCGAAATAAAGACCATCAGTTAAAGGTACTGTGTATGTGTTCCTGTCAAAAAGATTGCTTAAAAAAAATACTTCAGTCCTGTTTGCCATAAGCTGATTTTGTATATAAAAGCTTAACAGTCCCCTACAGCAACTGGAGGAACTTCAGGATGCATTGGTAACAATTAGCTGTTCACAGAATCACAGAATTGTAGGGGTTGGAAGGGACCTCCAGAGATCATTGAGTCCAACCCCCCTGCAAAGCAGGTTCCCTACAGTAGGTCGCACAGGTCAGCATTTAGGCAGGTCTTGAACATCTCCAGAGAAGGAGACTCCACCACCTCCCTGGGCAGCCTGTTCCAGTGCTCCGTCACCTCACTGTAAAGAAGTTCTTGTGCACATTTGTGCGGAACTTCCTATGCTGCAGTTTCTGGCCCTTTCCCCTTGTCCTGTCTCCACTCACCACTGCAAAGAGTCTGGCCTCGCCATTCTGCCCCCCACACCTCAGATATTTATAGACCTGGATCAGGTACTCTCTCAGTCTCCTTTTCTCAAGGCTGAACAGACCCAGTTCACTCAGCCTTACTTCATAGGAGAGATGCTCCAGGTCCCTCACCATCTTCGTGGCCCTCCGCTGGACTCCTTCCAAGAGATCCCTGTCTTTTTTGTACTGGGGAGCCCAGAACTGGATACAGTACTCCAGATGAGGCCTGGGTGTTCTAGCTTTTTGTCAATGTATTGTCTGTTCCAAAAGTTAACTGAGTTTGAATATTACACAAGCAGCAGTCTCTCTTCGAAAAATTTGTTTTGGATTTAGATTTCTTAGGGATTTTTTTTTTTTTTTTTTTAGATTTTTATCTGTTTGTTTGTTTTTAATGGGAGACTTGAAGGATGCAGTTGCTCCTGGAGCTGATTTAAGTTCTTTGTGACTCTGATGTTTGTAGGAGGAGAAGGAATCTGCTGATGCCAAACTTTCCAAAGTGAAGCTGCAAAACAAAGCCAAGGTTGCATCGTTAACCTCACAACTGGAAGAACTTAAGAAACAGTTGTCAGCATCAGGAGGCTCAGAGGAAAAAACAGAACCAAAAAAGGTAAGTGTCTTTTAGCTCGAAAGTGGACGGTTTAATATGCCAGACTTGAATATGGACCTCAAGTCCCAATTTTGAGCTGCTTTGATCAGGTTGCAATCAAGAAAAACTTTGTAGTCGCTGGCTGCCAGTCTGTGTGTTTCTATCTAATTTATTTTGTTATAGAAATTTAGAAAATTGTGTATTGCTTTCAAATTGTTTTAGTTAAATAAAAAACTAAAAAAATCATACTGCTGTTTGTCTTATTTGCATCTTAAACTCTTCACACGTGAGTCAGGAATATATGTTTATGAGAAGAAATGAAACTAAAAAACCACCTTGTAATTTTAATAACCAGAACAACCCTGGAAATCTAAAAATGGCCTTGGAAGCAAAGTTTGGATTAAATGCAGTAATCTCTCATTTTAGCTGACCAGTATTTTACCAGAAACAGAGATTTTTAAAATTTGTTTGTAGTAGTGCTTTCATATGAGTAGATACTGTGCTTTGGAGGCATTTAATTGACGCTTTTTTCCCCATTCCCTCCAACAGTCCCTTCTTTCTTCTGTGTTATATTGATTACACTTGCCAGGTTATGTGGCTTACAATGGCCAGAGGAAATAAATACCCCTTCTGCATGTTTCAGTTCACTTTGCATCAATAATTATCATTAATAATTTAAATATGATGATTTCTACATGCTTAATAGGAATACCATGCTGCCTTTGTTTAGCTTCTTGGATTTGTATATAAGGGAATGGAAATAAAGTAAAGAGTACTTTATTTCACCAATATTGTTGTTGGAATAGGTGGAGGTACCCCAAAATCAGTCACTACCTATTTATGGTATTAAAGACTCCATGTGTTTGCAGGCATCAAGAGATGGTGACCAGGAAAATGCTGCAGCAAACCGTGGGAAAATATTGGTGCTGAGAAAGAGAATTGAAGAACTGGAATCCCAGATCACACAAAAAAATGAAGAGTTACAAAAAAAGGTGGTATTTTAAGTGATGCTTAGCATGTGTTTTTTTTCACATTTGTGGTGCATGATTACATTTAAAGGCTAAACAGATGTTCTGAGAAAGTTTTTGGTTGAGAAGAAAGAGAAGGATATATCACAGAATCACAGAAACACCAAGGTTGGAAAAGACCTACAAGATCATCCAGTCCAGCCACCCACCTATCACTAACAGTTCTCACTAAACCATGTCACTCAACACAACGTCCACGTTATAATGTTTTAATCTGCTTCAGAAAATACAGTAATAGTTGTTTTGTTGTGTCTTCAGTTAATGAATTCTCTAGAACACTTCTGTGGTATTTTGATAGTAAATGGAAAAGCAAAAATTGTATGACCTGTGTGGTTTAATATCATCTTTAAACCTTTTATTTTGAATTAAAATGCTGTTTTGTTTCAGTTACAAAAAGCAACTCATTACAGAAAGAAATGCAAGCAAGGAATAATTTTGTATTATGTGTTTTGTGCATATTGTTATTGACTGTAGAAAGTGGCAGGAATGCGAGTGCTACAGAATTTCACTGAGAAACAGACAGTAATTAAATGTTGTGGCTAAAATTGAACTACATTATAAATGTGGTGGCAGTTTTTTCAGTAACTTAAAATAGGCTGTAAGGAGGTAGTACAAACTGCTCTTCTGAGCTGTAGATGATAGAAGTATAGATTACATGCTGTGTTGTCTTTTCATTTTCAGGATGCTGAATTGGAGGCTCAGCGCTATCGGGGGACTGAAATGGATGCCATGCTGGCAGAGAAAGAAAAGAAGTTAGCTGAAAGAGATGCCTATATCATCGATTTACAGATAGCATGTGGATCAGGTGGTGCTAACAATGAAGTACTCTTGCCCACCGAAGAGCTGAAGGTATGTTTCATAGCAATTTCAAGGAACCCAACAAACCCTGCTGTTACGTGAGCAGTCCTTTTCTGAAGCATAAATAATCTGTCGTTATTCATGTGACTACAATTTCTTCACTGGTTATCTCATTTATTTTGTTAGAGCTAATATTTATTTGCTTTGGTCAGTATCATTAATATTGACTTTGGAATCTGCTGACAAACTTCATACAAATTTATACCAAACCTGAATTTCTAGTTTAATGTGCTTAACATTAGAGGAAAGGCTAGAAGCTGATTCCTAGTGATTGCTTTTTCTTTATTCTGGAGCCATTCTTCTTATCATCTTATGGTTTGCATTCTAAAGAACGAACTATCCATTAAAGAATCATCCCTACAAAGCATGGAGATTCTTGTTCAGCAACTTAACAAGAAGGTTGGAGACAGTGAAGAAAAATGCAGCTTGTTCCAGGAAGAGATTGAGAGTCTTAAAAATGTGCAGAGCAATGAAAGAGAACGTTTCCAAAAGATGGAAGCCACATATATAGAAAATGTAAGTAAGCACTGTAAAAATATTTACATTTGTTGGTGGAAGAAGTGGTGTCTTGGCTGTAGTAGTGCTATCTCAATATCTGAGAGAAGCCATTCTGAATTTTCAGTGATTCTTAAGGTCTAAATAGTCATCAGATGAAATAAAAACAATGGGACTGTCAGTAGATGGTTTGTACAGGTGATTATTGAAAATGAAATATTGTGCAAGGAAGGATTTTAACAATGTGGCTGATGTCTGTGCACAGGAACTAGGATGTAAATGAGTAAAATGAGTTGTGGAGCATTGTAAGAAGAACCCCTAAAGCCTTCTCCTTGTGGCACTGTTCCTGAAGGTGCAGAAGTGTACACATGCAGCATCTACAGGTCTTTCTGAGTTATTTAACCATTCTGAATACAATCAGCATCCTTTTTTTCAGACTGAACAATCCCAGTTACTTTGCTCCAAACCCTGCACAGTTTCATTGCCTTTCTCTGGACTTGCTCCAGGGCCTCAGTGTCTTTCTTGTCATTTGAAGTTTGTTATTGTAGATTTGAGGCACGTTTCATGCAAGTTAGAGGTTTATCTGTATGCATCATTGTCTTTGGTAATCACTGACTGATTACTATACTTACTACTAAGCAGAAGCAAAACTCAACTTACAGAACACAATATCTTGCTGTACTTCAGTTACTTCAGTATTCTTTTAATGTACTTTTCTGAACAGGTTTCATATTTTCTTTGTATGTGTTTTTAGGTACGTGTGCTTCAAAATATAATTCATGAAAAGGAAAAAGAGCTGGAAGCACAGGGGAAAAAGCATGAGCAGGAGCTCTTTAAATTAGCTGCTAAATCCGATGCAAGTGCTGACTTGGAACAGGTGTGTTGCTTTGGAAAATTGGTAAATTGCTTTGACTTAGTCGTGGGAGTTTGGAATAATGTAATTAACAGTGAGTATCACAGAATCACAAAGACCTGTATGACACTGTTCAGATGTCTTGTTTGGAAACTAAATATGGGACGTTCACTTTGTCTTCTGAAAGTGTTAACCTCTATATTGATAGCTTGATTTTTTTTACTAGCTATTGAAGGCCTTGAAACAGAAGCTCCACGAAAAGGAAGAAGTCATGCTGGGAAGAACACAGGTGATAGATGTGCTGCAAAAAGAACTGGATGCCAAGGACCAGGAATTGAAAGTAAGAAATGCTATATACACCCTGCTCAACTCACCTGGTCAATTACAAGTTCTGAAAACTGTTGTTTGTGTACAAAGATGATTCTATGTAAAATACTTTGGCAGTGCTCTGGGTGGTTTTCACACATGCTGATAATGTAATCGTGATTGTGCAAACAAATATTAATTTCAGTTAGGAAATGAATTTTAAGGAGAAATAAATCCCGTGAAATACAAAATTGTCAGTTGTCACCCATAGTTTTGATTCATTTATTACATGTTAAAGACTTTTTGCTGTCAAAAAACTGATTTCTCTAGTTAAGAGTTTTGGAGAGAACTTCAAAACTGAGGCTTTCTTTTTGTTCCCTAAAGAGAATGTTTTGCTAGTAGTGTGCCCTTCCTTTTGAAGTATTTCTACTGATTGCAAAACCCATAGCTAATCAGGGTTCTTTGTGTTTAAGCACTTATTGTGAACCCTGATTATAGCCTTTTGAGTGCTGCTACTTCAGTTCAACAATGTAAGAAAAGGACATTGCAGTTCTCAAGCTTTTGAGACTCTGCTGAAACAACTTGTTTAAGAAGTGTCAGGGCCAGCAATTCAGCCATAATATTTCTAAAATATTTTCCACTTGTCAAGAGGGTTATCAGACTCACAATCTATTAGAAATTATTTAAACTATGTATGTAACCAGGTAGGCATCCTGTCCTGATGACACAGTCAGGATCCACAGCAAAAATGAATGATCTACAAGCTCTTATCCTAGCTGAGTCGGTGCTTTATTCATCCTTCACATTTATTATGTGTTGTGCATTATGCAAGCTTTTGTTTTTTGTTTGTTTTTTTTCTTCCTGGGGTTAGATGCATCTTGGAGGAAGATGCTCTACAGGAATAGTACCCAGTGCTAATGCATTGAGGGGACAGAAATGCACAGCTTGAAGATAGTGGGAAGGGTGAAATATGACGACATGAACTTAGAGCAGTTTTAACTGTGGTGGATCCTTGGTCTTAGTATCAAAATAGCAGGAAGTCTTCCTTTACATGTGCAGTATAATCACATTTTAAAAATATTGTCTCTCTTGTCCTTCACGGCCTCTTTACATGGACAGTTTATGGATTATGAATGCTGGCTTTTGTACAACAAATCTAATCTGGTGAGCTGCTGTCATACTGTTAGGGAGATCTGTAATCTTTTCTAGCCGTTGTATTATAACTAATGTGAAAGCACTGAAAGTAGAATAAGCACCAACAGAGAACTAGTTAGCAACAGGATTCTGTAAAAAAGAACTAGATTGTAGTTTGCTAGTTTAAATTCTAACAATGTAAGTAACAACATCTGAATGGTGTTGTAGTGAACATTCTCAATCCTTGATATCACTGTTAGATTCTTGCAGTTTTCCTTTACGCCATACATCAAAACGTTCATTTTTATTCCACTTTTGCCTATGGAGAGATGTTGTATGTAGTTTGCACCCAAAAATAGCAGTGCTGTTTTTTGAAGTTCCCATGTAGCCCTTTGAAATTGAAGCTGGGTTTTTTGTACTAGAGCCAGTTGCCCAAAGCAGCACCCTTTTCTGATTATGACAAGATGAAGTGTGTAAGAATGCACATATAATGTTTCACAGTGGTACTGAAAATACTGAAAATACTTCATATAAGAAAATAAACCTTTTTTTTTTTTTTTTTTTTTTTTAACAGGAGATTACTGAAAACATGAAACGTCTGCAGTCTGAAAAAGAAAACCTCCAGTCCAAACTGGATGCTGAGAGGCATGTATTGAGGGCACAGATAAAAGACATGATGGAGAAACACATGCTTGAAATGACAAAAGTCAGGGAGAAATACAATGCTGAGCTGCATGAAATTCAAGAGAAACATGAAACTGAGCTGCAAGAGAAAGACCAGGCTCTGTTTCAGCTTAAGAAACAAGTGGCAGAATTAACTGGTAGTGGGCAGACTAACTCAAAAGATGTTGCAGATCTGGAATCTACATCCAAAGAGAAGATGGAAGAATTAGAAGGTATCCTATTTAAAAAGTTGTCATGTATGAAGTTACTTTGCACCATACCCTTTCGTACTGTATGCCAATTTCATTCGTTTTTCAAATAGAATTCCATAAAATCCACTGGAAAAGTTATCACCATAAGAGGTACGTGTGCAGAAGCACTGTTACTATGAGGGTTATGGGAATATAAAGATATCACTGTAAATTGCTCACTACATTTCTTAATGTTTTTGTTCTCTAAATACAGTTGTCTTGTTTAAGTGTTACTTTCAGTTGCTAAAGAAATTAAACATAGGTCCCTTACTGATAATCGTTCTAGGATTTTAAGTAATTTTTATGCCTTGCTTTTTAGTACAACTGAAATTGAAGACAGAAGAGGCCAGCAAATCTGAAGCTAAGTTTCTGAAAATGAAGGCTTGGTCTAAATCAAGAATCAAACAATTGGAAGATGAGCTGAAAAATGTATGTGCAGCATTTTTTTAATGCTACAAACCTGTTTTTAAAATGTCTTTACTCGATTGAAAGAAGTAAAATATGGGGTAAACAGAATATTGAAATAATTTATTCAAAATGGCTATATTTGAGTATAAAAATAGTATAAAAATTGAATGGAAGCTAAATGTTGATACAGGAGGAAATTGCAACAACAAAATGTACAAATTTTGATGCATTTAAAAAGCTTACAGCTGCTTTTTGTTTTAGTTTTCATCGAAGAATAATGATCTGTCAGCCTTGAACAATCGTGTGTCAGAATTAGAAGCTGAAAAAGAAGAACTGGAATTAAAACTGCAATCATTACAAGAAATCAGAACTCAGAACGGTAAAACAAGGAGAAAAGCTAATAAAAATATCTTTTTTTACTACTGTATTGCAGATGGTTCAGAGTAAAGAGACAGGGAGGGTTAAATGGACTTTTGACTTGTTTGTTTTAAATTTCCAATGTATAGCTTTTCTTTTTTCAAACAGATTTGGAAGTAACTTCATGCTGCTTTGAGCAACAGCATACGCTACTTAACTCAGAGTTGCAACTCGGTTCTTCCTTCCCTAAACCTTCTTGTGCTTTATAGTTCAGGCCTTGTTGTATTTGACAGAATGTGTATCAGGTTCTCTAGTAAACTGGAAAAGGTATTTTCTTAGGATGAAAAATGAGAATGAGCATATTTGGAAAATGTAACAGAGTGTGTATAATTAATGGTAAGGAGCAGTGAGCTTAAATTCAGAATTATCTCAAATGTGTTTTTTTTTTTTCTTGTTATAAAGATTTTGAGAAAAACTTGTATAAAACCTCAGAGTGGTAACTAGGTTTAAAATACAGCTCAGAGAGATTATTTTTGTGTTATCTTGTTAGTTTTTATGACTTTTCTTTTTAAATGGAAAATGGTAGAATTTTCAGTTTAGTGGTCTAAATTGTTAGCAGATTAAATTTAAAGCACTCATCAGTATTTAATAAACAAGAAGTCAGTCTTGTGGGTAAGTGGACAGCACAGCCCAGCACAGGGCTTCTTATTGAAATCAATCATCTAAATTTCCATTTTGAATCTCTTTTCCATGCTTTTATTGATCTTCCTATGGTTTTGCATTGTATCAAACCTAATTCATGATTTTCTTTTTGTAGAAGAATTGCTGGCTAAGCTAGAAATCTATGAAGAGCAGCAAAGGAAGTTGCAAGCTGATCTTGACCAAGTTACAAAGAGAGCAGCTTCACAGGTTAACTTTAAAATTGATTTGTATGAATTACTGATTGGCTCAAGTGGCACATTGGAAAGTATGTTCATTGAATCTTGGTGTTGCAGATGAGTGACACATGAAACTGAGATGTCAGTGGCTGTTAAGTAACAAGCTGACAGGATTTGAATTAATTAAATGTGGATTTCTACTTACTTTTTTACATACTTTAAATTATGTTTCCCTAAACTGCTTATGATTTATTTAGTTACATTTAACAGAAATTATTGAATTGTGACTTCTTATTACTTTGTGTATGACCTGAGTAACTTTCAGAAGAAAATAACAAATGAAATCTTAACAAATATCCAGATATGGATGAGAAAGGGAGAAGATTCAGAAAATTATCCCAAAAGACTTCTAGATAGATTAAAAGCATATGTTACTCTTAGTGCTAAGTGATTTTGTGCAAGCCCAACAACAAAGCCAGTTTAAACATACTTTGCTGAAAGTGTTATCTATGAACTTTAATGAAATTTTTTTGTTTGTTTGATTGTTGCATTTATAAAACGAGGCTTTCTTTTGAGGGGAAGGCAGAAACATTCTACTCATGGATAAAAGTAATAGAGATTTCTTATCTCAAGGAAAGGAAGTTAAATATTATTCTACTTTGAAATATTTCAAGATGAAAATGTACAAGAAAAATATTTTGGTTAAAAAAAACCCCACTTTTTATTTAAAAAGTATTTTAGATTAAAGTGCAACTGGCAAGTAGCATTTTAGATATTTTGCTAAGTGGTGAGGTTTGCCTTTTTTACCATCTACTATAATATCTTCATTTTCACAGATATGTATGTGAAGTGGTAAATAATACAGATAATTTTCTCTGTGAATGGCTTGCTAAATTAAAAAGTCATTTATGTTCATAGTGGGGTTTGGTGAATATATTTTCATGTCCACTCTCTCTTGTTAGGCTAGTGAATCAGGTAGTGTGGATGAATTGCAGAATCAGCTCTTAGAATGGCAAGAAAATGCACCAGAATCAGAGGAGTCGCGTGATCGAGTCAGAGAAGAGAAATCTGCTATGGCCTTGAGAATGGCTCAGATTGAGGAGGAGAGAGAAGGTGGGTTGTTTTTCTTAGTTAAATTATCACATACATATGATGTGCAATCACATCTCACATGTTTGTGTGTTCTACTGCAGACTGAATTTATACTGTTCTATCATGACTAATTTATGTAATCTTGAGAATTAAATATAGCTAGTGAATTTGCTTAAATTTGCATTTTTTATTTTTTTTCCTATGTCCTTGAATCTTTTTTCCATACGTTCATTTTTTTTTTCTTTGTATCATTTTTATGAGTAGATGTGCTTGTTCTGTTTCCCCTCCAAGTTGCTGCTCTGTAAGAAATGTTGAACTTACTTCGGAAGCGTACTGTCCACATATGAATGAACAGTGCTTAAAAAGTTCACCGTATGTTAAAGCTGCCTGCCTTGAACAGGGAGTAAAGGTGTGGGAAACTGTGGTACTGGTTTAAATTTGATATTGGGTGGTGCTTTAGTAAAATGCAGGACAAATTTTCCCTTTAAATGTCATTAATCAGAAACTTTCCTTTAGTAGTCTGTTAACAAGTGTCACTTGTGTGGTTGGCTGAATAACAGTAAGTGTTACAGAAAATCACATTTTGGGTAATCTCAAGTATTGAAATTTTCTAAATTATTAATTAAACAGTTGATGAAAAAGTGAAGCAGATTCTGTTAAATCTCATAAAAGTCTGGTTAAATTTCAGTTAGTTTTTACTGCTTATTTCCCAGACCATTTAGTACTTCATTTTAACTTTTGTCCCATTAGTTAATGGATTAACAGCACATTATAATGTGCACAACCTACCATCATAATTAATTCAGTTAAAGAACTTGAGTCTTCTCTTTCTAATGTGCAATTGAGTAATTATTTTTAATTTAAAGGATGAATTTGGAAGTTCAGTATATAAGCACAGAAATGTTTTAAAGATCTTGTCTCATCTTTTTGAGAGTTTTACCATGTAATGCTTTGGACGAAAATAATATTCCCTTCATTAAAACTACCTGTTACCTCATATGTGGTAACTACAGACCCACATGCAATATTAATAGCAGTTGTAAAATTTCATCTGCGTCAGTCTGTGTTTAATTTTGCATTTTTTCCCCTTGGGATAAGCATGACCTTTCTGTTTCTGTTTTTTTTTGGTGTTTTTTTTCCTGCCGTTACACCTGATGAGCCCTCAGCGTCCCTTCCCCCTCCACTCCTACCCTACACTGCGATTTGGTCAGCCAGTGAGAACATAGTTTCCCATCAGTTTTGTGCATGCAGGTTCCTGCAGCAATGGCAACTTGTAATGTACTGTTGCTGATTTCTTCTGATGATGGTTCTTTTGAGGAAATTGCCAACAGTACCTTATAATATTTGCCATTGATGGTATGTGGGTTTTAACAGTATGTGTAACAAATGCTGTCTTTCAACTTAATTTTTTTTTTCCCTCTTGCAAAGCCAATTTCTTCATTTACACTAACCGAGTCGTGTTTCTTTATTTTTCTTTGTTGTAACAGCTGACTCCATATTTCTAGAGGAAAAAAATCTTAGCTTGCTGCAACTGGATATAACTAAACAAGAATTGAATTTATTTAGAAATTCTTAATAGAAATTGAAATTCAGTAGCATTTAAAAAAAAACCAATTATGTTCCCCCATGTAAGTTACAGGATTTATTTGGATTAATATTAGTTACCAATATTTTAAGCAATTCAGAAACCCACTACTCGTTCCATCATAGACTATGGGAATTTGCCAAGTAAGGCAATTTTCTGTTTTGGAATGAATGTATGAAGAGCTACACAGTCTTAGGGGGATATAGCATTGACTGATGTCTGTAAATTCTGGCTTGTTTCCTCTGCAAACCACTGAAGATTGTAACATGAACAGTTACAGAATTACAGATGCATTATTAGTTAATTTGAATGCACTGTGAATCAGAATAAAAGTGTTTTGTTCAGGTTTTTACTTTAGATATAATTGCAAATGAAAAGCTTCCTATGCTGCTGCAAAACATTAGAAAATATATTTACTTACTTACTATTGTTAAAGTAATGCTGAATTTAACTGAAAGTGTTTTAATGTTTAACAAAGGGTTTTACACTATTCTAAAGCTCCAATTTCTACATTGTTGTTTTTCATCTGACAATGGTAATGTCGTTTTTCCTTTCACTATCAAAACCAAAAATAGTTGGGTTCCTAAAGGATAGTGTACTTTTCTTTCTGGTGATGCTTAAAAGCAGATGTCTTCAATTTAAACTTGAAGGCATTTAATTTTTTTAAAGAGGGAATTAAATTCTGATATTAAATAACACTTTCTCTTCGAATTGCTTCCTGGGCTACAATAATAGTTCTGTAAGCATACATTTAAGGTGATCAGAATTTGGCATTTATATATTTATATAAATATACATATATGCTTTGAAAAAGCACGTGTAGTGATTAAATACAAAATTAAAAAAAAAAAAAAGTTGAATTCATTTTTGCACAGAAGTGTGCAGAATGAATGCTGATAAAGTGACTGTGCAAGAAACCACAATTTAATTGAAACCAAAATTTAATTAAAACCATTAGGGAAATCCAGTTCTGCAGTCCTGCTTGAATGGCCCTTAAAGGTTTTCTTTAACGTTTTTTGCTTGAATCTTTTATGACTGTTAAGTATGTAGTTTTTAAATATTATGGGAAGAACTTTACTCCCATCTAGTAGGTGGTATATGAATGTGCTTTAATGAAATCTGTTGAATAAGTTATCCTTGTACAATTCAGATGAAAGCTGAGCATTCCCAGTATGACCTAACAGTTTTGGGGTTATACTTCACTGATGCATAAGTAGAATGTTGTCTGGACTTTGCATTTTATGAAGACAACTGTGTATTGATACGGTTAAGTTGAAAGCTATATCTGCGATTGTCTTATTTTCAGTTGAAGTATGGAGCCACCTTTATTTTCATTTCTTCTCACCAGCTGTTCTGTTTTGTCTGCTTTGCATGATACACCTGTTACCTACTCTGTCAACCCAAATGTGTTTTGTCATATCACAAAACAGATGGGAATGTACTTAAAATGAAAAAGCCTTTCTAACAGCGAACAAGATGCATACCTTAGCTTTCATATTCTGAATTTATTCAGTGTGGTTTTTTGTTTTAAACAATGATTCTGTATTTGTCTTTAAAAGAATGGTATTATTGATGTATGATAAGATGGTTTGATACCAGTTGCAGTGTAACGCTTGCTTGTGACTTCCTCAAATTATCATACTCGTACTAAAATTGAAGTCGAAATAGACACGTTACTTACATGAAATTGATGTGATTGTTCACATTACAAAAAGCACAGCTGTCTCAGCTGATATTATTATACAAATTGGGTATATTTTAACCTGGTAAATCAAAAGCCTATGTAATTTGGCCTTTAATTGGTTGGATTTATTATTGTTACTTTAGCGTAAACTCACCCTTTCCAATCTCTTGTATCAAGACTTTCTTGTGAACGTGACGAAGAAGTAATGCTAGCCTTCAGTTTGCTTCTTCTTAGTGAGATAGATATACAGTCTTTATTTTTGTGTTCTACTAAGTAACGTTGGAGGGAAATCACAAGGTGAATGCTGTGGATTGCTTCTTTAATCTTGTTCTGTCAGTCATTCATAGGGACTTCAGCCTGTCCCAGGTCTCTTTTCATGTAGTAGTGTCTGATATAATTGTAATTCCTTTCCTGTGGCACAAAACTGATTGAGGATGACTGGTTCTTTCCTGGCTGCTCTGATCCAGCCATAGTCTCAGGGCAACAGGAGCTGGAGGAGGAACTGACCACAGTTCAAGGAATGGGCAGGCTGGATCAGGAGGGAAGAAAAAGTAATCAGAACAACAGGAATCTTCAGGTGGGTTAAAAGTTACATATATCTATTTTTACCTGAATGTTAATGAAAATATGATGCTTTACAGTTGGATAGGTTAAGGGCTTATGAGCTTAGATCTGTTATGTAAGTGAATACTAGATAGATTTGGTAGTAAATTTTAAATGCCTGTGAATGTAGCCAGAAGATGAGGAACAATTGTAGTGGCATCCCAGTTCTCTGTTCCTTGAGTCATGAGCCTGCTTAATTTTACGTTGAAAAATTGTGAGTCTCCTTCTGGAGTAATTCATATCCTTGTAGCTGTGTACATGCTTCATATGCTAAGGCCATGTTTTGTGTCAGATACAGTCTTTATTAATTTCTATGCAGGGAGATTTATAGAATAGTTAGTAATTAGTGTCAGTTCATTTGAGTTAACTTTTTGGTACTTGGTGCTGTTGCTTGCAAAAAAAAAAAAAAAAAATCCCAGTATTTTATAAGAATAATTAGAATGTCACTTGCATAAAACTGCTGTTGGAAGCATAATTTTATGTTTAGTTAATGCCAGTACTTCGATTTTCAGAGGATGCTATTAACTGTGGAAACTGGAACTAATTAACGTTTCCAAACATAATTATCTGTTTGCCTCTCGGATGCCTGAGGGTGTCTTTAGAGCTGTAGCAGGTCCTGCACAAAGACTGTGGAAGATTCTCCTTCTCTGGAAGTGACAGTTTAAGGCTAGACAGCTGTCCATAGTGGTCACACATGCTTACGTTTATGCACCTGAATCACTTGTTGGATTTTATAATATTTAACTGAAACTACACTTCTAGTAACAGAATATGTATTTTACCCTTCCTTCTTTTCTTCTTTTAATTAAATGTCATTCTTATATTTTGCACGTAGGAAGAGTACAGCTTTGATAGAAAACAATGCTTTCAAGAAGCATTGAATGTCACCCTGGATAGCACTGATTCAGCTGAAGGAGAAAATATGGGAGGTTGGTGGCCAGAATACACTTCACCTAATGCAGGTGTGATAGAGACTAGACAGTTTATTAAAGCATGCACAGCCTCTGTATTTTGTGTCTATTTTTGTTTTCAAAATTCAGCTAACAACCCATTTGTGGTGTATCCTATTCTTTGTTGAATTTTTTTGGCTTGCGTTTTTTTCTGTTTCATTTTAAGCATGTGCGTGCTGGATGAACTGCCTAGTTTTGGTTCAGAAGTAGAATATAAATATTATTAAACACTGGAATTGTTTGAGCCTTGCTGCCTGTGAAGTACCCTACGTAGCAAGATCGTGTGGTTTTTAAGTTGAGTCTTGTTCCTGTGAGTGTGTTTCCAATCTATGTAACTGTTTTGTTTGGAAAACAGAATTATATTGCACTGCTGTGTGCTTTGTTTTAAAGATCAAACAGCTGTTTTTTAGTGTGGATATGCTCTTCTGTCTGTGGTATAAGCTACTAGTATGTATTGTTAGTAAAATGCAGTAGATGCACTTGCAAATTTTGATATAGACCAGTTTAGTTTGTTAATATAGCTTAAAATCTGATCTTGTAAGTATATTAACTTATGATTAAAGTAACATCATTCTTATTATTAATTGGGACACAATATTGATTAAAATATTTCTGCTAGGTTCTCTATGAGTTAGTGAGTTTTGCAAGTAGATTTTGGTTTTTGAAAAGTTATGGGTATGTTTATCATTTAATATTTGCATGAACAAGACCTCAAGCATTTCCATTGGAAGTGGTTAAGATCTAATTGTGCCCAACAATGGCAAAAATTGTGAATATAAAGGTGAAAGTCATTTCTAGACTTGAGGATTTTTTAATAGATCTTTCTTGAACTAATTCTTCCTTTTGACTTAAATAGGCTTACGGAGTGTAGTTGAAGAGTTGGAATTGGAAAGAAATCAACTGCAGGAACAAATTCTGTTTCTAGAAGAACGTTGTCAGGATTTGGAAGATAGATTGCAGCTTCAAGGTAGAATGGAAACTCTTCAGGTGAGCTTTTGCACTTCCCTAAAAACTGCTATTGTTAAGATAATCGCTTAGTTCTCTCTTCATATTCTTACAACAGCCTACAGTAGCACAAAAGTGTAAATTCGCAGCAAGCAAAAATACCTAAAACCTATTTTATAGTTTCTGTTGGCTGACAGTCTACACATGCTATCTTATGCTCTAAAGTTTAAGCCTGTCACTTCTAGTGACAGTAAAAGTAGAAGTCAGTGCATTAAAAAAAACTTGGTTGAAAGTAAGCTTCATTAATTGTTGCAGAAACATAGTAAAGGTCAAAATAATTTGTATCACTCTCTGTAGGATGCCTTTGTTAAAAGAGCAAGAGCTGAATATTTTTTTTTTTTTTTACTACTAGAAGAAGTCTCTGTCACATCCCTCAATTCATAATTATAGCTCACATACCACGTACATATAATATATGCATAATATAAAAACATATTTTAATGTATGCTGCAGTGAATGCACGAGAAGAACAGTAACATAAATACTTAAATCAGAAATTTTAAATACTTTTATAGTATTTCCTGACTAGTAAGTTACTATGTTCAATACTTTCTAAACCTAATTTCCACAAAATGACACAACTGATCTCTTCTCATGCTCCTTGAGTTTGGTACATTGCTCATATTCCTTACCTGCTAATTTGCACCTATCCATTTATTTATAATTAATTTAAGATACAAAACAAACTTATTAATATCTGAGAATCTTTTAACAAAACCTTTTGATACAGGTAACGTTTGATGTAAAGGAAGAAGGGCAGCTATTGAGGGCGGTACAGGTGTGTTCTGCCTCCTCCAGAATGCTAGCTTATTTTCATTAGAGGTGACAAGTTTGCCACGTTTGTCCTTTTTGATGTTGGTTCTGAATATGTGTTTTGCTTTTTGGTTGCCATTAGATATTTTTGTGGTTTTATTTTTGAATGGGTGCTGTGAATCTGACTAGAGTAGGGCATTTGCATTGTTTTTTGTTGTTTTCTTTTTTAAGTGTGTGAATGGAGCTCGCTTTCTTTTTCTTCTTTTCTCTGCAACTCCCTTTATGCTAATTTAGTCTCCTGCAGATTTTTTGCATTCCTTCAGGTTGAAAAAAACATGCCCCTTTAGTATTATCTTCAAATCAATGAGGAAAGTGTGTTTTCAAAGCAGTAGCTTCCCCTTTTGAAGATCAATTAAATAAGGTGTCTTAACACAGTATGTGTGTTGCTTTGGGTATAGAGCAACAATCCTTGAGTTCATTCTAGTATAGCAACACTGTAGGAAGTATTTCTGAAAGGTGGGTTGCATCTATCTGAACTTATGATATTAATGTTGTATTTTGAACTGATGAGTGCTAATATGCTAACAGTCTCTTGTTACATAAGATGTAAATCTTCTAATGAGTCAGATTTTTGGAACTCTAGTTCTCTTATGCTATTCTATGTGTGCAGTAATCCTCTTGATTAACTTTTTGTTGCAGAATGAAAATGAACGTTTTCAAAGTCAGCTCACCCAGTTACGCAATCAACAGATTCGAGATGCCGAAAAGCATCAAATTCTGGTCTCTGGATTGAATGAGCAGCTGAAAGGGTAAAATAAAGGCTCTTTATAACTCCATTGAGGATTTGCTTTCTTTGCTTTAAACTTAAATTTCTAACGGACCAGAAGTGTCATCTGTTAAAACATGTAAAATTGATACTTGTTTCTGATTGCGGTCAAGATACTTTTGGACTTGGAAGTTTAAATGGAAATTGTAGAAATGATTATTTTTTTAGGGACACAGTCTGGGGGCTAATAAACTAGAAAGCCTAAAGCAAACTTTGTTTTCAAGATGGAATTTAGTTATCAAAGGTCTATGTATGTGCTTTCTTCTCAGGTTGAGCGACCGAAATAGTTTCCTTGAAACTTCACTTGGAGAAAAAGAAGAAAAACTGCTAAGCTTAACAGAAAAACTAGAACAAATTGAAACTTTGAGAAAACTGCTTCAAGAAAGGGATCTGTTGAACAAAGAGCTGGGAGAGAAGTTTGTGCATAGTGAACAAAACGTAAGTTACTAAATAGTATATAATTTATTAGAACTGGTGAACATTGGCCTTAACTTTTGATTTGTATTCCAGAAGTAAAATTGCTGCTTTTCTAGCCAAAGGATTTGGCTCTTTTGTTTCATTGCAGCTTTGTTTACATCATCTAATTACTTTGCTTAAAGTTGGGTGTAACGATTACTTGCCACACCACAGTGATTTGCATGAATGTATTGTGTATTTTGAGTGAAATGTTGTCTTAATTAATTTCATTATATGAATACCTCTTTTAGGTAAGTTCAATCTTACTATTCGAACATCACATTTTAAATATGTTTCTATGATCTAAATCTTTATTTTTAATACTAAGCTGAAAGAAGCCTTAAAGAAATGCAGTGTGTATGAAGTGGAGAACGCTGAGCAGAAAAAAGTCATCAGTGATCTAACGGAAAAAGTTGCTACACTGAAGGAAAAGGTAACTCATAAAATGAAAATAAGGATCTTTCTTGTATTTTGAAATGGTTCATTTAAATGTGAGAAAAAAAACCAACAACCTTGAGCATTAATTATACTGCAGATTTTATACACTGACCTTTCTGTATGCTAAAACAATCTAAAATGTAACATTGTCTTGTGATTGTACTGTTGGGTAGGTCATTGTTACAGTTGATAAAAGTATTGTGGTGTTACAGTTGGAAAGAATATAATGGAGAAATGGAAAGAAACAAACAGAGAAGGAATGCTCACCCATATTTAAAGATTCAAGCTTGGGATGAAAGATTCCAAAAAGACGGAATTTCCAAAAAGAGATCCTTCCCTAGTGCTAGTCAGCCCTTAAATGGGGTCTTCTGGCCACACAGGTGAATTGCTTTCACCTGTGCTCCCACGGCTGACCCAGTCCTTGCCTCAGGTGATCAATCAGTGGTTCAGGCTGTGACTCAACAGTTTCCATACAGTCATTAGTTCAAGGATTGTTTGTGAGTGATGGATTAGTCTAAATATTAGATTTACATAAGGAGTGTATCTTCCATTTTCCTTCTAATGTACCTTTTAATTATTCTTGTAACATTGTTTTCTTGATGTTTAGACTTTGAAACAAGATGATATGGTGGAATCAATGCAGCTGGATCTTGACCAGGCAAATGAGGAACTTGACAAATTGAATACGAGCCATTTAGAGGAACGATCTCAACTTATTCAAGATCTCCAGAAACGTGAAAGAGAAATTGATCATCTTAAAGAAGCACTGGCAGAAAAAGAGAGGGAGTTATCTGCCTTGTCTTTGAATATGACGGAATATTCAGAACAAGTTATCATTCTGAAGCATCAAGTGCAATGCAAAAATGAAGAAATACGGGGGATAGAAGAGGCTTTATCGAAGGCTGAAAGGGAGGCTGATTTACTGAAAGAAGTACAAACAGCTGATGTAAGAGATACAAGTGTGAAAATATCTGTCCTTTCTGAGAAGAGTAATACAATGAGACTAGAACTGGAAAGAATTAGAGTTGAAAATGAAGCTAAAACTAAAGAAAATGAGGAACTGATAAGACAAATCAGTGAGTACAGCATTACAGTTAAGGATCTCCGTTCTGAAATCAAGGCCAATCATGTCGCATACCGTAACAATCTTATGGAGTGTGAGTCACAAATTACTTTGCTGAAAGAACAAATTAGCAAATCATCTGAAAAGCTACAAGAAACTGAGAATAAACAAAGAAAAGAAGCTGAATATTTGAAATCTCAGATTGAGGAAAATAACACTCTGAAAGAAAAATGGAACAGTTTGCTTAAAGAGAAAGAGAATAAAGAACAGACTCTTGAAAATGAGTTAAAATCTATTAAAGATTCATACAACAAACTAGTTTTGGAAGATGCTAAAAAAGATGAAGAGTTGGCTCAGTTATCTAGGAAGCTCACAGAACATACTGAACACCAGGAAACAATTAAAAAAGAATTACAGGAGAAACAAGAGATCATTGTTTCATTAGATAAGAAGCTTGAGTTTTTGGAGCAACAAAATGAAGAGACCAAACTTAAATTAACTGAAGATCTTAAAGCCAAAGAGACATGTTGTGAAGAGCTTAGTAACCAATTAAGTGAAATACAGAAACAAATTAACAAGATGGAAATAGAGACACAGGAGAAAGCATCAGCTAATAAGCGGTTGCAGGCAGATCTTGAGGGGAAAGAAACAAAATTGGCAGAGCAAGTGAAAGCAAATGAACATCTGAAAAAAAGTATAGGTAAAGTGAAAAAAGAGAAGCAACAGTTAGTCAGTGAAAATGAGAATTTGTCCAAACTTCTGGATGTGAAGGAATGTGAATTATTAAAGAAAATCCAGGCTGTAGCAGAAATGGAAAGCAAGTTATCTGTTAGCGATGCTGAATACCAAAAAACTCTTTCAGTACTAAACAGTGAAAAAGCCACTCTAGCAAAAGAGATTGAACAACTCTCAATAGCTGCAAAGCAAAAAGAAAATTCAGTTGCAGAACAGCTGCAGAAGAAAACAAAGGAATGCAATGTGTTAGCTGGTCAGTTGTCTGAAAGCAAGGAACAAGCACAACAGTTGAGTGAACAAATGCAATCAGTTCTCATTCAACTGAAGGATGCTACAGACAAAGAAACAAAGAAAGAAGAAATGTTAAATAGTAAGTTATCTGAATGTAGTACCCTAATACAAGAGCTCAGCCAGAGTAAGGAAAATAATTTACTGCTGCAAGAGCAAGTTCAAAGATTAGCTTTGGATTTTGAAGCTAAGAGCAAGAGTCTAGAAGAAAAAATCTTTCAATGTGATTCACTGCATAAGGAAATTGAAGACAGTAAATCTTATATTGTAGAGTTGCAGGAAGAAATCAAAAATCTTAAAGAGGATAAAACAAAGTTATCTCAGTGGGTAGGAGAAAGAGACCTGACTCTAAAAAGTCAGGGTTCAGAACTTGAAAAGTTTCGTAAGCAGGTTTCTGACAAAATTGAAGAAAGTTCAGTGTTAAATAATCAGCTACAGCAAGTAAGCAAAGAAGTGACTGAGCTTAAGCATAAAAAGGAGGACCTTTCAAACCTATTGAGCAAGAAGTCACATGAATATGAAATTCTTCAGTCACAGTTGGTACAGCAACAATCTGATACTACTTCTGCAAGGCAACTAGCACACACAGCAGCTCTAGAAAATGAAAAATTGAAAGTAGAAATTGAAAACCTTAATGGAATGATAATGAAAAAATCAGAAGAAATAGCTACTTTAACTTCACACTTGTCCCAACAGAGTCATAGTATTTTAGCTCTGAAGGACCAAATTGATGGCCTCGTGGTTGAAAAAGAAAACCTAAAAACTCTCGTGGAAAGGAAAGAGATTCTTATTTCTGAGAAGGATGTTTTGCTACAACAAATGAAGGATAGTAAAATGGCAGGAGAAGGGCAATATTTGCAAGTCATTTCAGATCTGCAAAACCAAATACAAACCCTAGGTTTTGAAGCCAGCCAGCTTAAACAGACAATGCAGGAAAAAGAAAATGAATGTAAGAAGCAAGCTCAAGAATTAAAGTTACTAAAAGATAAATCTGAAGAGTCTGATATACTTAGGGTTCAACTGTCTGAGAATATGGAGGTTATTTCTGACCTTCAGTATCAACTTAGAAATTTGACAGAAAAAGCAGCAGAGTTGAATGATTCAATTGCACAGAAGGATGAATGTTTAAAACAAAAGATAGATGAATACGTTAGTTTAAAAGCATGCCTTTCTGATGTACAGGAATCATCCATTTTGCAGCAGAAACAGTTAGAACTTTTAACTTCAGAAGCAGAACAATTAAAAGTACTTGTTTCAGAGAAAGATTTAACTGTAAATAATATTTCATTATTCAGTGAGAACTTAAAGATGCAACTTCAAGAAAAGGAGAATGAATGTGTTGTCTTAAGGAAACAGTTAGTGGAGCTGGAGGAAGTAAAAGTGAATTTACAAAAAGAAGTACAACATCAGAAGAACGTAATAATAGAAAAGGATCAGTCCTTATCAGAAAATGAATCCTCTCTTACAGAAAATAAAACTCTTCTCAATGCTCTGAAGGAGAAAGCACAGGAAGATGAAGAGAAGATAAATTTAATCTCTCAGCTCCAAAGTCAAGTACATGTACTAACACAAGAACTACAAAAATCTAAGGAACTAATCCAGGAGAAAGAAGATGCCTTTTTGTCTCTTCAGGAAAAAATTGAAGCACAGTATGAACTAAGAACAGAGTTTAATGCAGCTCTTAATAAAAAAGAAGAAGTTATTGCCGAACTGCATAATTCTGTGAAGGAGAAGGATTCCAGTCTACAGTTGGCAAATAAGAACATAAGTGGTCTCTCTAATGAGATTGAGATTCTCAAAGAAGAATTAGAAAAAAGCGGTGCAGCTATGAAAAACCTTACTAAGGAATTTCAGGAGAAAAATGAAAGCTTTAATATTAATCAGAAGAAAGTCGATTCTTTGACAGTTGAGCTTCAGACTGTGAAAAGTGAATACTGTAAAGCACTAAACCAAATAAGTACATGTAAACAAGAATTACAGCAAAAAGAATTGGCTGTAGAGTCTCTGCGTTTGACTTGCACTGAACAGGCAGATAATATAGCATGTCTAAAGTTGGAGTTGAATAATGTAAATTCTAAATCATCTCAAGACAGCCACGAAAGTGCACTTTTAATAGGTAGTCTGCAACACCAAGTAGAGGCTTTAGTGAATGAAAAAAATATGCTACAAGAAGATGCTGCTAAACTTATGGCTGAAAACACACAACTTGTTGCATCTCAAAATCATTTGGAAAAGAAATTGGAAGAGCTCCAAGAAATGAATGGAAAACTAGAAGCCAGTGAGAATTACTCAAGAATGCAGATAGATGCTGTCCAACTGCAGATGAAGACTGAAAAAGAGAAGTTACAGATGCAGGTTAGTGCGAAGGGTGAAGAACTTTCTAAATTAGAACTTAAATTTGAAAATCTAGAGCAAAGTCTGCTTGAGTCAGAAAACAAATGGGTGACAGAACTTGATAGGGCAACTTTAGAAATTAAAAATCTTACTGAACAATTGGACTGTTTAGAAAGTGAAATGAAATCCAAGGATAGCAAAATCCAGTCTTTACAGGAGGAACTGGATCTTACCAAAGAGGAAATAACTCAAAGCTTATCTCATTTACTTAATAGTAGGCTTTTATGTAAAGAAAAGAATGCAAAGACTTCAGATTCCCAACTACAGCTAACTGATGGTAAAATACAATTGGAAAAATTCTCCACTCTGATATCTACTATTTTAAGCAAAGAAGTAGAAAGAGAACAATTGCAGCTGGTTCTTTTAGAAAAACAGAAAGAAATAGATGTCATAAAAGATGAATTAAAAAATACGCAGTCACTTGAGAAAGAGAAGGAGTTGCTACAGAATGATATTGATAAAATGAAGGGTACCTATGAATCTGAAATTGAATGCCTATCACAAGAAATGATTGCTGTCAAGGAAACTTTATGTAAACAAGAATCTCTTTTGCAAGAAAAGAATAGGCAGATTGAATTTCTTCAGGACAAGATAAATAAATCAGAAGAAGTAGTAAGGACCAGTCAAGAAAAACTGCATGTTGATGGCAAAAAAGTAGCAAGTCTCCTTGAAGATATGGGAAGAAAAGATCAACTCATAGAAGACTTAACTTCACAAGTAAATCAGCAAAAGGATTTAATTTCTGGTCTAAGCCAGCAAATGAAAGAAAAGGACTGTTCTGTTACCCAGATCATGGAATCATTGTCTAGTGAAATGCTGAATTTTTCTGAAGAGAGGAATGCATTAAACAGCAAACTGCAGGCTCTTGAGTCTGCTCATAATCATTCCATAGGAGAACTAAATCGAGTGTTGCAGGAACTTGAGGACTGTAAGAAAGAGCTGGAATGTAGTCAGGTTGTATTAAGCAACAGAGAAGCTGTTTTTAAAGATTTAATGAAAGAAAAGGAGGAGATGTATCTTAATCTTGAGAAACTTGGCAAGGAAAAAGAGAATCTGAAGAAGAAACTTCAAGCAGCATTGATAATAAGAAGAGATCTAATGCAAAAAATCGCAAAACTAGAGAAGAGTGGGCAGGAAGAAATAGAGAAAGAGAAAGGAAAAAGAGAGGGGTTGTTGAAGAAAGTTGAGGAGTTAACGGACAAGCTGAAACTAGCTGAAGATCAAAATATAGATTTTGAGACCTATCTTGGAACTCTGAAGCAACAGCTTAGAGAAAAAGATGTCAAAATAAGTGACTTGAATGATATCTTGTTGGCAAAGGCCACTTATATAGAGGAACTTCAGGCCAATATTGCAAAACTAAATGATGTCATTGCTGAAAAACAAATTATCTGTGAGCAGAACCTAAAATCTTTAGAGGAAAAGGATAACATGCTTGCTCATATGCAAACTATGCTTGATGAAAAAGTAAGAGCATATGAAGAGAAACATTCACAGCTCTTAATAGCTCTTGAAATGATGAACTCTGAAGTTAAGGAGGAAGAATTGTTGAAAAATTCCAGTTCTGAAAAGCTCAGTGCCAGGGACAAGAGAAAGTGTTTGGACTCTAACAATGAAACTAATGTAATTCAGTTAGAAAAAGAAGACTTGCAGAGAGATCTTTTGGTCAGGGAAGAAGATGTAAGAAAATTTCAGAAAGAGGGGACAGAGCACACTAAACTTACAGCAGATTTTGATGAACAAACACACTTGAAGAATGTCAAACTAGAGCATAAAGCTCTCTGGGAAGATCTTCAAAGAAAATTTAAAGAGTTTGGCTTGAATCAATTAGAAAAACATCTTGGGAAAGAGCTTGTCTCTCCTAAGACAGGGGAAGAAGAAAGTGACCTAAAGAATTTGGAATCCAACAAATCAAGAAACAAGGTTCAGGCTGCATCCTTTAAAGAGTCAGAAAACCTAATCACTTCAGTGACAAGTAAAGATACTGAATTAGAAGAACTAAGAGACAATTATGTAAAGCTTCAGGAGGAAACAGAAATGTTGAAGGAAGAGCTGAGAAAAATATTAGTTGAATTTGGTGGTGGTGGAATAAAAGCAGTTGACTCCATGATAGAACAGGAGCAGTACCAGGAACAATGTAAAGATAGCGTTTTGGAGGATATAAAGCAGATGCAGACAAAGCTGAAAACATTCTTGACTGAAACTGCAGACATGAAGATGATGCTGGAATGTGTAAATAATGAGAAAGAAACACTTGTTAAAAAAAATGAGGAGGATTACAGGATGAGCCAGGAGAAGCTGCAGAAACTGAGAAAGGAAGCTAATAAGGAAATAGCAGAAAAGAATGAGGAAATAGAAGCTTTGCATTCTTCACTTAAAGATTTTAAGGAGAAACTTGATCTTGAAAAGGAATTGTTAAAAGAAGCTCTAAAGGACGGCCAAGAAGAAATCCACCGTTACAAAGCAGAACTTGAAGAAATAAAGAATGAAAAAGAGGAGCTTGTTCATCATTTAGAGGAGTCCAATTTGAAACTAATCAATAAGAAAAGGGAGTTAAAGCATGTCAATGAAGAAAACAAAAAGCTTCTGACAGAACTTTGTTTGCTACGTGAGAAGGCTGAGATAAGTACTCCTGTAGTGTCATGCAAAGAGTTTAAAGAAGAAAATGATACTGAAAAAGAACTGGTAGAGTTTTGTTCAGAAGGTGGTTCTCTTCAAGGAAAATTACAAAGTAAAGGCACCTCTTTTCAACTATCTAAGACTGGTTACTCTGGGAAAACTACTCTGAAAGAAGCAGCGGACTATAAAACCCAGAAAGAAATGGAAATTGTTCAGGAGCCACTTTCAAAAACTGTTAACGTAGGTGATTCTAAACCACAAGGACAAAGGACTATAGCGGAAGAGAAGTCCAAAGACCACCTTCAAAGAAAATTACAAGCAGCTTTAATATCACGTAAAGAAGCTCTGAGAGAAAATAAATATCTAAAAGACCAGATTGATAAGCTATTACTGGAAAGAGAGGAACTGGTGAACAAGACAAGCACGCTTGAACGCTTGTTGTTAGAGCTTGGTAGAGAAAAGCAAAGTTCAAATACTGTTTCTGTATTGTCTGAAGAGGAGAGCCTTGTTTCTGAAAATGCTAGACTGTTGGCTGAAAATGAAAACCTCACTGCTGCATGTGAAAGTCTTAAATCTACGATGGAGACAATAGTTCAGGAAAAAGAGGCCTTTTCTTTCCAGCTAAATACCTTAAAAGATTCTCAGACAGTTGAATTAACAGGTTGGAAGGCTAAACACAGTGAATTAAAGCAAGAGTATGAATCCCTCCTTCAGGCTTATGAGAATATCAGTAGTAAAATAGCAGATATGAGGCAAGTTATTGATGTCACTAGAAAAGAGAAACAAGAGGCTATTCAGAGACTCAGGGAAGGGGAATCAGAGAAGGAGGCTCTTGAGAAACAGTTTCAGAAACTCACTGATGAAAATGAAGTGATTAAGGATCAGCTGAAAAAACTTAGTGAATCCAAGAAATTGGAAGTTGATGAATTACAGACTAAAGCAAAAAGGCAGATATGTGAACAAGAGGCAAGAATGGAAGAACACCAGACTCGTCTTCATGAACTCACTCAACAGAATAGTCAGCTAAAGGAGGAAAATGAACAGCTGAAACAAACTTCTGAAAATTTAAAGCAGGCTTTAGAGAAAATTCAGGATGAAAATGACATCCTTCATAATAACATCACTGTAACTAAAGCAGCTCTGGGAGAGCTCCAAGTTCAAATGGAAGTGTACCAAAATGATATGCAATCTAAAATCAGAGATGCGTTATATGAGAATGAATCATTGTTAAAAGACATTAATGTGCTAAGAGATAAACTCTCTGAAAAGGAACAAGAAAGAAAATTAATTTCAGAAAAAGTGAAAGAAACTGAAAAGTCTTTGGACCATAAAAATCATTGTATTACAAAGCTGAACATGGAGTGTAAAAATCTTACACGAGAAATTGTTAGTCTAAATGAAAAAGTTAAGATTTTAGAAGATGATAAATGTCTCTTACAAGAGGAATTAGAAAATGCACAAGAAAGTTCTTACAAAGTAAAGAATGAGAGGGAATTCCTTGAGACAGAATTGCTTAATCATATTAAAGAGGTTGATCATCTTACTGATACAATGAAATCAGCACAAGTGCAGAATAATGTACTTTTACAGCAACTGGAAGAATTAAAGGCAGAGAAGTGTAATGTGATTAGAGAAAAAGAAGAACAGCAGCTACAACTAGTAAAACTGTTTGAGGAGAAGGTAAAATGTGCACAGAGAGATAATAGTGGAAATAAAAACAGAACAAAAGAATTACAAGAACTCTTAAAGGAGAAACAGCAGGAGATCAACCATTTGCAAAAGGATTCTATAAAATTCCAGGAGCTGATCCTGGATTTGGAAAGGTCTGTGAAATTGTCACAGTCAAAAAACGAAAAATTTGAAAAAGATTTAAGTAATATGTCAGAAAAGCTTACCAAATCGAATGAAGAAATATCCCATCTCAATGAAAAGCTGTCTTCACAGGTAAACTTGTTGGATCAGTCAAAGAAAGAAGTAGACAGGCTTACAGCTGAGAATCTTAATTGGAGAAATGAACTTAAGAGGAAAGAAGATGAACTGGAAATTCAGAAGAGAGAATATATGACAGAACTGGAGCTAAATTTTAAACAATTAACATTGGTTCACAAAGGAGAATTTTTGAACTTAGAGGAAAGACACAGTGCCCTTCAGAGAGAAAAAGATAGGGCAATTAGTGAGATTCAAGGATTGCAAGAAGAGATTAGCTTTAAGGACTCTGAAAACAAGAAGCTTCAGGCAGATTTGAATGCAGCTTTGGCACGCTTAGCTGCTTTTGCAAAATGTATGTCCTCTCTTCAAAATGACCGGGACAGGGTAATCACTGAAATGAAAACCTGGGAAACACAGTTCAAAGAGGCTATCCAGAGTAAAGAGATACAAATAGAAAACAGTAATAAAAGAATAATGTCCCTGCAAGATGAATTGAAAGACAAAATGACTCAGATTCAGGAACTGAGTATCAAATATTCTGTGGGACAGGAAACAAAGGATGAACTGTATTTAAGGCAAAAATCTGCTAATATACCATGGCATGAAGAGCTCCGCAAAATAAAGGAAGAAAATGTACTTTTTTTTAATAGGCAGCAAGAGTTGGAGAATGCTCTGCAGTCAAAAGAAGAAGCTTTGCAAGCACTCCTGAAGGAAAATAACTCTCTGAATCATCTTATAGAGAATAGTAAAAGTTCTGGAAGTGAGATAAAAGTTCTGGAAAGTAATTTTACAAGACAAGAACAAGAACTGCAAAACCTTCTTGCTGAAAAGGAAAAAATTAATGCTGAGTTGGAGAAGCAAATTACCATTTCTGAGCAAATGAAAATCATGCTGAATAATAAGGATAAAGAAATTTCCTTACTCATTTCTTCAAAAAGTGATGGAATTTCTGACTATCTGATTCAGGTACAGACTCAACATAGAGAACAAATCAAAGAATATGAGCGTCAGTTCCATTCACTACAGAGAGAGAAAGAACAGTCTGAGGAGTCCTGTCAAAAGATGGAAAATGAACTGAGAAATCTCCAGATGAAAGCAGATAAGGCAGGTCAAGATAAGGCTGCAATTGCCAGTGAACTAGATGCTTTTAAAAAGTCAATGTCATCTCTTCAGAATGATCGTGATGACCTTTTTTCAAAATACAAAGAACTGGAGCATCTTCACCAAAATGTCATTAGTCAACGAGACAATCTTATAGTTGGCAATGCGAGTGAGAATAATGCTTTGAAACAAGAATTAAGGGTACTACTTAATCGGATAGATGATCTTCATTCTGAAAATGCAATGCTAAATGCCCAGCTAATAAAGTATAGGGAAGATCTTAACCAAGTTTTATCTCTGAAAGATCATCAATTAAAAGACTTACTTAAGCAAAAATTAGATTTCATTAAAGGCCTTGAACAGGAAAAATATGATCTTCAGAAACAAATAAAAGAGGTGCAACTGTCCAGTCAACTGCAAATGGATACTGTTGTATCTTTGGAACATGAAAATAAAAAATTAGTATCTAAAGTAAACGATTTAGAATCTTTAATTGCATCATTAAACAAAGAGAAACTTGTTTCTGAGTCTGGAGAGAAACTGTTAACTTGTGGTAGCATTCAGAAAAAAAAAAGTGCATCCAATGGACTGTATGGAGAAAAACTTCAGAAGACTGACAGTGTCCAGAAATCACTAGGCAGAAATACTAAGGATGCAGATGGGGAACACAGTAAGACATTTCAGAAACTTGAGCATGGATATGAACCCGATGCTTTTACAGAGATGATAGTAGAAGTTCAGTCTCAGAATAGAGAGCTGAGATCCCAGAATGAGGCCTTTGGCAAAGCAATGACTGCTCTACAAAATGATAGAGATAGGATAATAGAGGACTTAAGTATACTTCAGAGCAAATACACATCAGAACTCAAGTCTGAGAAAAAGAAAGGAGTTGAACTTGAAGCTGAATTTGGTAGCTTTAAATCCCGTCTTGTCAGTATACTCAAGGAAAGTGGTCTTCTGAAAAAGGTACTTTTTGATCCTGCAAATATTGTTACAGTTGATCAGATTGCTGATGAAATTGAAAATCTCTGTAGGACATTTGTCACCCGTGAGCTGGAGATTAGCAGGCTCTCATCTGAATGTGGGAATTATGTTCAGCAGATTGAAGCATTTTCCAAGGCTATGGCCAGTCTTCAGGATGACCGAGACAAATTGCTGCAGGAACTCAGCAAGCAGAAGGTAGCTTCTGAAACTAAACAGGGGGGCATAGCTTCATTTCCCATTGCTTGCAACAGCATCAATGATACAAATTATTTTAAAAGTAATTTGGATGTGCTTCAGATTGATAGGGAAAGATTGGTAAGTTTTAACTGGCTACGTTGTTTTTTGTTTTTTTTTTCTTCTCCATTTAATGCAGAGAATGCATGACTTTGCAAATTACATGAGTGCTATGAACTATATGCTATGAATGCTATGACTAAACAAGATGTGTAAAATCTTGAGAGTTTAGAAAATGTTCCTGTTAAACAAAAGCAAATGGGAAAAGCAAAGCAAAAGAATTCTGTACTAGAATTCTGGTACTAATAAAACTTCAATTATATACTTTTCCTTCGGTTTACTAATCATGTTTATTAAATGTAGGCTAAAGAAGGAGCCAGCCTTGCAACTGTTGAAATATCAAAACTGAAGGCCAAGGTTGATGATTTGGAGAAGGCATTACATCAGACAAAAGCCTTCCAAGCAGAAACTGAGAGAGAAATTGCATCATACCGGAATGAAATTGCTGGATTGAGGTATAAATGTTTAAGTTAAATTAACAAGTGATGCATAAGGTTTTTGCTTAGAATTCTTCATTGAGTTCAATGTGATATATAACTGACAAAGAAAATGATGTATAATTTATCAAAAGAATATTTTCATAACGTGCTCGGTCAGCTTCCACACAATTTTCTTTGTTTACAGTTATCCTTGTATCTTTATCTAATTATCTCTTTATTGATGTAAAATTTCAGTCTTGAATGAATGTCTTCTCTCCAGCTGGTGACTTCAGTGTATGGATCTAAAATTAACGGATCTCATTTCTGTGCTTGATGATATCATGTTGTTGTCTCAGTAAAAGTTACTGTTGATAAACCTGAACATTTCCTCCCAATTTTTTGTTGTTAAGTATACGTCTGAAATATTGCATATATTTGACTCAACTGCATATTGAAAATAGTCTTCATTTCACATTTGAGGAATGTTTTTGTAAATTCACATGTCCACTTCTGCACTGTTGACATCTTCTATCACCTATGACAAATGAATAATGTCACACCTTGTGTCTAATTCTGTGAATGCTATTTTGAAGAGACATCTTCAAATGGAAATATGTATTGAGAATACTCATAAAATGTACCACATTTGCCTGTAAGTTTTTTAAAATTGCCATGACTTGTTCTAGAAATAACAATTTGTACAGCCTTATTCTTTTCATTGACTTCTGTATAGTGTATTTTCATTTAATAGCCAGTTTTTTATTTCTCATTCAGGATGGAAAAGAACCTCCTCCTCTCAGAGTCCCAAGCACTGCGAAATCAATATCAAATGACAATTGCTGAGAAAGACCATCAGATTGCAGAACTGCAGAAGCTGCAAGAAGACATAATTGTTAAAAAATCAATCTCCACTGGCAACATTTACCCAGTCAAGGTAAACAGAATATAGCAGGAGGCATCAACCTACTTCAGTTGGTTCATTGTACTAAGTTTGCAGTTTGCTTCCTAAATGAGAATTATCTAGTATGTTAGTCTAAATAGTGAAGGCTGATATGCTATAGAGTGTATTTCACTATTCTGGGGGCCAGTCCAGTAGCAAGCTACAACTACATCAGATCATTGAGTTGCAATAATTAAGAACACTTTTCAAATGGAATCAGGTGTGTTGATATTGATCCACTTCTTTTAAATGAAAAAAAGAAGTTTGTTATGTTTATAAAATAACAGAGAAAACTCACTGGTGCAATACATTTTAATGGGTAAAAAGCATGCGAAGAAACTTCATGAATAAAAGAATAGTTATAAAACAAAATGTGAAGAACTGTCATGAGCCAGTAATGGTTGTTAATTCTTAGCCAATAAGGAGTATCAATTTGTTATGGTTATACTGTAAGGTAGCTGTATTTTCTCTTTACAGAGTTGATAATGTTAGTAAATTCCTTAAGTAATTTTGTAAATTGCTATTTTAGGTTAGTTAAATCTAGAATATAATATGAAGAAGTTCAAAGTTGGTGAATGATCATGAGCATGATTCAGCAGCAGACAGGGTGTTGATAAATACAGAGATCTATATTGGAAAGGGGAAAAAAAAAGAGCAATGCGATTTATGGCTTTGTCACATAGTTTTATCCAGTCAAGAGGGATGAAGCTTTCAGATAACTCTCAGAGGAATTCCTACATAGTAGCTGAGGTAAAATGTGTTACGTTATTAGGTGGAAAATAACTTTGGGTCTATAATTCTTGTGCCAATTTTCTGCCTATCATGAGTAATTTGCAGTTCACACTATTATAAAACCAATGTTGCTACTTGTTCCTATGAGATACATTCAAAAGAGAAGTAGAATGCTGTATGGTGATTTGTAGGGTGCCAACAATGTGTTTATCAGTTACTGAGTCCTTGCTTGCTCTTAGACTTAATTAGCTGCCAGGCAGCCTGTGGCACAGGCTATACTTAGTTCTTTTTCTCTCAGCTGAAAATGTCATGTATACTATGTCTTCCTGAGCCAGTGTTTATAATAATCTGCAAGTATGCACAAAATCATTAAATACAGAAGTAGCATAACTTCTCTTGAGAAATGAACATCTTAAGTTTTTTTAAATCCAATTTTAAATTTGTCTAACTGATGTTATTGATACAGATGGACGAACAGGATTGCTTGCTTGCATCTTACTTTAAGAAAAACAGCGTTAATTAAATAAGTTTTTGGATGTTGAAAAAATGGTGGATAAAGTGACACAAAGCATGTTACAGTACACTTCACCTCAGCTTCACAGAAGCATTGCAGTAAGAATGTTTTGAAAGAGTGAAAACATGATGCAGAAAATAAGAAAATTCAGAAAAGATTGAGATTTGTTCATGTTAAAGAAGAAATTAAAGAGATAAACAGTCTAATTGTACTGTAGGATGTGTGCATTTGAACTGAGAATCTTTAACTTCTTGTGAATCCAAGATAAAGAGATAAGCAAAACTAGTCAAGATATGTGCTCTTTCAGGTTGCATGAACGTTTTTTAGATGTATGATTTCTACAGACTGTTTTCAGGTACATGTTATTAACAGGATCAAAAAGAAATTTGGTAATTTACATTGATAACAACAGCATATACTTGATGCTAGCAAAGTCATAAGAGCCTAAATCAATCTCTTAATTATTTGTCGATGAGAATAGAACCTAATTGTGGGGAGAAGGGAGACAGATGCCTAATGGAAGCACCGTTGTCCTTTCCCTGAAGCAGCTGGAGTTGTTTCTGGCAGGAACAAAATACCAAATTTAGAAAGACAGCATCTGAGACCCAGTTGTCTGCTTTCATAGATTATCATTAAAGGTTCAAGGAAAGTGTTATTTTGGAATAATGTTTTCATTTGCTTTTTTCTGTACCAAAGGAAGTAGAGGTAAGGCATCTTCCATTAATTTCACTAAAAACAGTGTTTCGGCTGGTAAAATTCATAGCTGTCATATACTGTTCATTTTTTTGTGTGTTCAAGATGACAAACAAGGGCTGCTGAACTGCAGTGTCTGCTGGGTTACGAAGTACCTTATGTGGTAAAAGTCTTTATTTCACGATTTTATGAGAAAATAGATTCCAGAAACCATTGAAGATGGCTTACTTTCCTTCATTGTTAGAGATTAACATCATAGCATTGGCCTGCCACGTACTCACAATCTTGTCCTTTTCTATTAGTGGTAAAGTTGAATTCTTTTTGTGAATTGGGCTTTTAACTTTAAATTCATATTTAAAAAACAGCTGCATTCACCCTGTTATGAATGCCATTATTTTTTTTTTATTAGAAACTAGATTTTTAAAAGGTATTTTAAATTCATCTGCCTTTTCTGTTTTTCCACTTTTGTGCTTCACACTGTTTGCAGTTTTTTTTTTCAGTGAAGTTTGTAGATTGAAAACGTTTAGAAGCAGGTTTTTATGTAAATAGAGTTTCTTCCACATGTCAAATAAACTTATAAGAAGGAAATTATCCTGTTTAAAGGAAATCATTATGTAGTCCATATGTATATTTAATGTTGAATTATTTAGAAAATTCCTTTACTGTTTAACCTGAATATACTGATATTTCTTAAGGCTTTAGAAACTGCCTCTCTTGCTGGAGGTGCAGACACCCCTGAGGAAGTCAAACATGTTTTGGCTGAAAGGAATCAGCTTCAGAATGAGCTACAGCGCTGTCTTCAGGAGATGCACCAGAAGGATCTGCATCTACATCAGGTTAATTCAAAGGTAACTTAAACCAACAACTGTCATCCTAAATAGTTAATGTGAATCTGAATCTGAGCTATTAAAAGCACAGCAATATGGCTAAACTGGGTGGTATCCTTATGATTGAAACTTTGCTTCAAAACTTAGAGTTCTTCAAAACATTCCATTTGGTTCAGTCTAGAAATTGCAATGTAAACTCAGTATTATGTTTATGCTGTTGCCTTCCTTATTTGACCAAGAGATGTTTATTTGAATTTGCATTCTGAGGAGATTGATAGAGTATTGCTCAACTTGAACTCAAATTAAAGTACTTTTCTTTATTCTATGTTAGACAGAAAAAGATGGCTGTCTTAGCTGGAACAAAATTTTGGCTTTCTCATACCAAACGTAAAATACCTCAAAAATGTTTCCTCACAGTGTCTTTATGAACCTTTCAGTGGATTTGCGTGTGGATGTGTTGAGTTTTGCTTGCAGAAGTTTGTAAATGTTTTTGGAAATTCACTAAGCACTTACCCTGCTTTGTGTGTCTTGGTATTCAGAACAAATTAGATTTGTTGCATTTCATCTGTAATTGTGTCTGTTTTTACTGCTTCACCTGAACATTTTATGAATCTAGTGACAATTTCAACCAACTTTTGAAACTGTCATAGCAATCTCAACCTACAGCTGAAGGTGAATATTTGGGAAAGGGTGAAGAGCCGTATTGCTGTTTTGTTATTGAAAATATTAAAAGTTGACTGCTTTTACATACCTCAACTTCCTGATGAACGTCATTATTCCTGGAATTACTGTTTTGAGTTATTGATTACAGAGACAATACTCTTTTTGTTTGAAGATTTTGTTACTTCTACTTCTCATAAAACAACTAGTTAAATCTTACTAAGCTGACCTCGCCAAAAAGTGGCGAGGATGCAATACTGAAAATAGTATGCAGTTACTTTCAAACTTTCAACAACAGATCTCATGTCTAGTAATTTCCTGGATGATATAGTTTTTGTGTTTGCTTTATTGTGTTTTTTGAATAATTTAAATTATAATTTCTTTCAGAATCTGCAGTCAGCAGAAGAGAATGCTGTGTTGTCTGCCCAGCTGAAAACTCTATCTCAGACTCTAAGGGATAACCAGCTTCGTTACACTGATTTGCAGAATCGTTATTTAAGACTGGAGAGGGAATATCAAACAATGCAGGTGACATCCTTCCAGGGCACCGTTCAGGTAAATGAACACAGAGAAAATTCTTAGGGCTCTTTTTATACTCGTGTTTTTGCTGGCTTTTGTGCTAAACAAAAATAAATACTTAAAAAGCATTTACTTACTGTTTTTTAATTGTTTTGCTGATACAATAGTCTATGATACCTTGAAGATAACTATTTTTATAAAGCTGGTTTTTTAATTAGATTTTTCAGGAAGCTCTTTACAGATGCTATTTTCATTTTGAAGTGTCATCTTTTTTGAATTGGCCACAACTGGCAGGATAATTGGATGATCACCAATCAGTGGATTAGCAAGATTCAGTGATAGTTTCACAGCAGTCACAAACCATTTTGCAAAGTTATTTGTAATATTTTGGGAAATCAGATCTATTTAATCAATTCAGCATCTCAGTACCCCTTACAACCCATCATACACATGTAAGCTTATCTCTTTGAGGTCCCTTCATTTCTAAAATGTTTTCCTCTGCTACCTTTCTTAGTAAGTAATGACTGATTAATGGAAGACTCTAAAATATTATGCGGATTCATATATAAACCCTTTCTAGAAACAAAAAAAAATGGGGAGAACTGTATACTGAAAAAGAAATTAAATCTCTACTTCTTAGAGAAGATTCAGGTTCCATTTCCTTCACATGTTTACAAAGCACGAGGCTGCTTAAGTGCAGTTCTCGGTGCTTCTGCACTACATAAAGCTCTGAATTTAAACATTGCTTTATGTCAGTCATAGTCTATCTGGGAGAAAATAAAAGGGAGACCTACTTTATTCAGTCTCACATTGTCACCAGTTCTGCAAGTACACGTAGCCATCTACTCCCAAGCATTTATTCAGTGTCAGTCCAGGTAGTGATCCCAACCTGTGCATCACTGCATCTTATTGAATATACAAGAATTTGTGTTCTGCTGTTTGTGTTACACCTTAGCAACAAGCTGTGAAGCTAGAGCTAAGTGACTAATCCAAATATTCAGATGTTATCATAAGGAGACAAAATATAATGGGGTGTTCTGTGTCTAGAGTTCACAAATGTGAGAAAAAGAATACAATACTGTGTAGAACTTTTCTGCTGCCTCTGTTTGAACTGGCTTGTCTGTATGGCTTGATAGGCTACAGATATTTTGTCTCAGATTTTGGCAGTAGAAGAATAGCTATGCTATTAAGGAAACTGTGCTCAGTATGTTATGTTACTGTGTGCATTTGTAGATGTATTTCTTGCACTGCAGACATAGCTCAGATTGCTGTGTTGTACTGCATACATGCATCTTCCAAGTCCAGCAGCACACAGAGACAGTTGTCATTTTTTAATTAGAAGACTTAGTTTTGTAAAATTGTGGTTTTGGAAATTTAATGATTGAACGACACGAGAGTTCTGTTCCCTTGTTGTGTGTTGCTCATGGCTTCTTTAACTGAATAAAGATTTTTTTATGACTACAAAAATTGTGACTAGCTTTTTCCCCTTCTAATAGGATGAAACTAGAGCAGAAGTTCCCCCTGGAGCACCACAGGAAAGATCTGCAGTTATTGTTGAAATAGACAATATGGAGCTAAATGAACTCAGAAAAAGGTCAGAATTGAAGAGTGTGTATTAGCAATATTGTTTTTCTAACAGCTGTATTGTAAGTGCATAAGTAATGCTTTTCTCTCTCTGGGGAAAAGGGAAGGATGTGGATTTACAGTACATTAAATGTGTCAGTCATATTCTTACAATATTATTTGGTTTTATTTCAATATCTCCAGATCTAATCTAACGAGGCTCATTAAAGTTGAGTCCTTATCCCCAAACAGAACATTCCTAAATAAAAAAAAAAGAACAATGAATTGATTATTTCAGTACATAAAAATATTGATTTCATTTTTCATTTTATTTATAGGCTTGCAGACACTGAGCAACAATATGATTCAGTACAGCAGGCTCTCTCACAACTGACACAAACACTGGCAGAAGAAAAGAGAAGGAGAGAAGCTGCAGAAGAAGCTCTTGGACTCTCTGAAGAGCTAAGTAACAGGTAAACTGTACTGTACAGTGAAACATTTTGTTTTTTTTTTTTTCTTTTGAAGGCATATGATGGATTGTTATATTTAAACCCTTATGCAAGTATGAAAAAACCTGCATATTCGGAGAGCTTAAACCTCTTTCCTCTTCTTTCTTCCTCTCGTGGCTCAGCTTCTTTTTGAATAGGTTCATCCTGAGGTTTTCATTTACAGTAGCCTAGAATAAATGCAAAGTGTACTACAGAACTGAAAAACTGTCAGATTTTTTTTTTTATTTGCCTTTTATTTTTAGTGATGATTTTTCCTGTTCATGTTAGATTTCTGGTAATAGAATGGAAACTATAAGTTTAGAACCTGTAGCAATCAAAAAATGCATGTGTGACTGTTAAAAATCTAGTTCTAACTCTGTGGATCAAGAAAATGTTAAGGGCCTTTGATTTTTATTGTTCTTATTTTTAATTTAATCTCTTGCTTCTGAATGACTCAGTGTTATTTTTGCCAAGTTAGAAGAAATATACATACTGAAACTTTAGTACAGGCATGGGTTAGATTTAAAATATCACAAGTCATTTGCCCAATTAAAATCTTCATTACTATCGTAATCTGAAAATTACTATTTAACCAGCTAACAATGATGAGGATTATTTAGAATAAATAACACCTTGAGAGTAGTTTGCAAATAGCTTATGTTGTCATAAGTCTCTAAGTCTTACTGCTTTTTATGGGGAGCTCCTTGCAGCAATTTAAATGTATAAAGTGTTGTGTTGTTGTTTGTTTGTTTGTTTGTTTTAATGTAAATTTGGTATTTTGGAAGAGCAGGTAATTCAGTATTCCATTGTCTAACTTTTCTCTAGATTTGAAGTCAGTAGTTACAGGCCTGTACCTAGCGAATACACTGTTCGGATGGAAACCGAGGGGGAAAGGGAAGCCTTAATCATCAATCCTAGTGAACATATTACTGTAAGAAAGGTAAGTAAATAAAAAGCTTCTAAAAAGCCCAGATTATAAACTGCTTAAGTGGTACACATGTTGTATATTGTTAATTGCAGGTAGCACTGAAGGCAAGGCATCATGGTTCAGTATTTTCTTTCATGCTACTCTTCCTTTCTTTAGTCTTCCTCTGTTTTATCTCTCTGTCTTTCATTCATTCTTCAAGTGCAGATTTCCCTTTTGAATTTGTGGGAATTGCTGACTGTAGATTATCCTCTTTGTATGTAAATGCTGGCACAAAGCAGCTACTTGTTTAATCTGCCATTAATCCAAAAAGCTGATTGAAGCACTCTTTTATTGTGTTACATATCATGGGTGTGTCGGCTACACAGGGGTCCATTCAACATAGCAAAGTAATGAAAAAATTTATTTCTGTCTTGGGTTGTGGATGGTAAATCAAATATAGTTAACTGTGTAAAACATGCCACATTACGTATGTTCAAACCAAAATATCAGAGATCTGTAAGTTTAATTCTATTGCATATCAGGCCATTAAATACAGTTTATATGCATATAATTATATGTTTTTGTCTCTAGTATGCATATGTAATTACATAATATACAAATACTTTATGTTCATTCTTACTTCCCTTTTGTTAATGCTGTTCTTTTATCTTTAAATCATGTTTAAGTCCCATGGTGTGACATCTGTTGCTGCATCAGAGTTAGAAGGTTTACAGTGCCAGAGATGTCTAGGTTACAATGGAATTGCTTCTTAGGTATTTATGAACACTTTGTTTCCTAACCAGGTGAAAAGAGGAGCCCTCTCCTTCAGAAGATGGCTTCGAGGACGAAGTCTTACCTGTTCTAAGCTGCTGACCTCCAGAGCAAAATCCCGCTATTTATTCCTTACATACCTGGTTACACTACATCTTATTGTTTTATTGTGCCTCACTGGTGTTCTCTGAATACACTGCATTTTCTGAGTAAATTATTTTCTTATAGGTAATGGTGTGCCAATTCAAGTTAATAGATTTTTCACATGCTGCTGTTAAGCTATGCACTGGACACAGTTGTATATATTCTTGTTACACTATATGAATCTTGAGCTTCTTGTAAGAAATTTGTGTATATCACAGTTGTCCCAAAGTTGACTTGAATTGCTCTTTATCAGTGGGGTATTATATTTGCTAAGGAGAAAATATTGCCCTCGTTTGCCCTATAAAGAAACTGCTGCATACTAGTTATTTAATATTGCTTGTGAGTACATAATGAATGATTACTACTGAATGGGTTGTAAATGATATCTTTTCTAAATAAATTTTATTTTAAGAGTTGAACTATACATTTTAAAGGAATATTCAGCTATTACTGTTTATTGGCTTCTTGGTTACAACAGGAAGTTCTACAGGAGTGCAATAAAGAAAGAAGAACTGGATTTTAATTTCCTCTTATTTTCATTCAAAAAATAAGCTTAAGTCAATGTTCTTTGGCCATAGTAAGCCTTTATAGTTTGCGTTGGCTGTTTCAGGGTACACAGGTCTGTATGTGGTAATGTGGTAAAGTGAAGTATAAGCTTCAGTCAAGATTGGGGAATTGGCGTGAAGAAATGTCTTAAGCATCCTATGTTCCTTTATTGTTGTTTCACAGGTGCAATTTCTGTAACTTTTCACATGTTTAAACTTACTTCCACTCCTCGTAGTCTTGATGGGTTTAAGTTTATGTATGTCTTGGGGCCAAATGTTACTTAGCTGCTCAGCAGATGAACTTCAGGCTTATAAACCTACAGTCTTACATATTTTACATACTTTGAATTACGAATGAGGAGAGTTTGCATTTTTAACTGGGAGGCTATAAGAAGCAGGTGATTTGCACTCAGTTTCTGTAGGTATGTAGTGGAGCATTGTGCCTTTTATATTGATCCTCCTATATTTTGTTATAACGATCTCTGAAACTTCACAGCTATTTCTCTGATTCCAAAACCAGCTTATCTGTGAAGGCTATGGCCAGTAGAAGCTAGAATGTTGTTTTTATTCCTGGAACTGTTTATTGTTTGTTCTGTGTTTCCGTTCGTGCCTGTATAAAATGGAGATGCATTCAAAACAAGCCAAGTCTAAGAGAGTAGACATAAAGTCACAAAAAGAAATGACCATTTGTTTTCCTATTAACCAGACTAAAATACTGTGGGAGAAGATAATGCATATGAAAATTGAAGGCTTCCATCAGTTTTACAAAATTGACTTGAGTATTCATGAAGTAAATTATCTGCCTGTGTTACAAGGATTTTTGTACATGCTGTCTTCTGCTGTGCATGGTCACATGGTGAGAGAGAGAGCGATTGGTTGAGAGTTGATGTTGGCAGGGTTAACATTTACTAAATTGTATCTGAAGTTCTGCATTGTTTGCTTTTGTGATGTGGAATGGGAATTGTCACCGGCCTTAATTATCTAGGAACTAAGGTAAAGCTTAGGAACTTTCTTCTTATGAGGATTCTGTAATATTTCTAGTCTACTGATGGTCTGGATTCCTATATTAATCCAATATATTCCGGTGTGGTTGATGTCTTTTTTTGTGTGTGTGAAATAGTTACCACTCACCTCTTTTGAATGGCTTATTGCTGATTCAGTCCCTGTTTTAAGCCACAGTGTCACTGAAATTCTGAGATAAGTCAGCTATTTTCAGTCTTTGCACCACACAAACAAACATCAAGTACAGTTGAAACGTGAGAACTGTTTGTGGTAAGACTTCTCCTGCTTCAGGATGGCTGCTAACAAGGATGATAATGAGCTATTCTTAGGTATTTGTGTTAAAAGAAGTAGAATGGTTTCTAGTGACAGCAGTGGACCACAAAACCATCCTGTCTTGCACATCTGGTGTGAGGGCTTTTGTCTCAAAAAGGGGGGTTATTAATGAAAATAAAAATCCTTTCTTACGAGGCATAGCAAGTTAGCAAGGGGGAGGGGATACAGAGGTAATGGAAATCCTGCCCTAATTTATCTAGGCCTTTATGCTGTCACAGCGATAAGCACAAACTGAAAAAAAGGTTTCCAAAAATGGCTTGACTCACGTAGATGTTCTGTGAACTCCTTTCCTGAAGCTGTTATAAATGTAATGGAAGATGAGATCACTTCATTTACGAAGGTGCTTTTACAGATCGTCACCATTTCCCAGGTAAGCACACCCTGAGAGTTTCGCCTGTTAACAGCTGATGATTTTAACGCTTGTTTTCACTTGGTTCGAGATCTTCTGGGGGTATGTGTACACTTGCTTATTTCCAAAATGTGGTCCTGGATACTGCTTTGCCTTAGCCATTGAAGGAATTCCAGAAGGACTCCTAATGTAAGGCAGTTCAGGTTTGACTGCATGATTGTAAGGAGATGTCCCTCATCACTGGAAAGATCAGTGGTGTACAGTGGAACTTTCTTTGTCTGAAGCCTAGAGGGATCTGTATGTGTAAGCTGGACAGATAGTTATGAGTAGCTATGACACAAACCAGGATGAAGCACAAGGTGAATGTATTCCATCACATTTAGTTCTCTCGTGGCATTTTGTACTAAAGGACTAAACGCTTCGTATTTTACAGAAGGAGTGCTGTCTTAAGAGTGGATGTGATGTCTGTATTAATTTCAGTGTTACCTACATTTGGTCAACTGACTGAGGGGCAGGGTAGGATGGATGTGGGGAAGGCATTCACAAGACATGGAGGCTCAACAGTTTGAGGGAATTAGATGGTTCAGGCATCTGTTCTTTGTCAATCCTAGAACAGCACGGACAATAAGGACTTTTATTTGGCCTGTGCTAAATATGCATACAAAATGCAGAACATGCTATACAATTTAGAACTTTAATAGTGTTCTCTGAACATCAGGCATTATGCAGAAACCAGTAGAAACAAACAGGAAGTTTTCTGTTTATTAAACATAAAACCAGCAGCTTCAAAGCAATAACATGACTGTCACTGAAGGTATTTGTGTATTTAAGTAGTACTCTTTTAACATTTACCTTATGACTAAGTAATGATAAGCATAGCAAGGTCATTGCTATTGTTTTTAAGCATGAAATGAACAAATTCAGCCATTGATTTTATTAATAAGTTTCAATGAGTTGTCTGGAATCTAACTAATATTGAGTAAAAGTACCAACTGAATAACTGCTGGCACTCTGAAGCCTAGCCTGTAAAGATGATCTAAGGTTTCACTGTGAATTTTTTTTCTCTGAGGATGGTTGTAACTGGGATTATTTTTCCATTCACAGTTGCACATAAAATGCTGTGATGAGACTGAATGGGAATATTATTTTTTTCTCCTTGGGGATTAAGCATCTTTGCTGTATCCAGCCTTTGGAACCAATGATCAGTGCTGTACTGTCAGAGCTGCGAAGAATCTCTATACTTATAATTTCTCTGTTTTGAAATTGTAGCATTTCACCTGTTGTAGTTCTTGTATTTAGGAACTGAAGTTCCTTTGATTCAGATTCACATTGGAATTGAAGTCTGAGTACAGTTCTGTAAAGCTGGATAATGCTGGAAGATGGTTAGTTTATTGCATTCTCAAAGGCTTTTCGTTAGGATTTCGGAACTAAGTAATGGCTTGTGGCAGTGTGAATGAAGATTCACAAATACACCTGCTGGAACTAATGTTTAAACATTCCTAAATTAAAACTATTGGCAAACATATGTGCTAGAAATATTCAGCTTCTTTATGAGCAAAGGAATCTTCCAGTCACATGCATATCAACGTCAATCAAAGAGATTATTGTTATTTTATAATACTGCATTATCATTTATTCAAATTATGCATCCATTTCATCTGGCAGCGTTCTGATCAATCGTGTGTTGTGGTCTTACTCCATAAAGCCCATGGTGAAGGAGTGAACACCAGGGACTTCATTATTTTTTTGATGCAGAAGGGGCAGAGTATCCTATCTCTGCACAGTCATTGTCTGTTGTGAGAAAACCTTGTTTTTAAATATCCAAGGACTTCAGTATTATTGCAGTGGCCCTCTGAAGAGCATGAGGCTGTTTTAAGCCCCACATATCAGACAGATGGAGACTTAGTGGGATAAGTTCTGTTTTCTTGTTCGTTCCTTTTTTGTTCTTAAAGTCCTCTTCCTTACCGAATGAAGTTGCCAGAAAAGGAAAAGTGCAATACTTCTCTCTTGACTGCCTAAACAGGCAGTCTTACAGCCCTAAAAATAAACAAGGAGTCCAAAAGAGAAGTCTTGGTGAAATTCTGGCCCTCCCTCGGTGGGAGTTCTGCCATGGATTTCAGTGAATTCAGGACTTTGATGTGTTGGCCAACTGCTGTGGTTTTGTTGATTTTGGCCAGCTGTGCCAGCCACAGCTTGTTCTATGTCCCAGAATAGCTTCTTTGATAAGATATTTACCATTACAAGTATGGAACAGGTCCTCTAGCCAGCACTTAACGTTACAGAGTAGCTGTCATTTAAAAACACAGCCAATACTTTCCTGAAAGTGTTTGTGGGGGTTATTTTTAGTTGTTTCTTCAAATTGATTGTGGCCCCCTGAGAAAAAGGCAAAAATGCCATTAGGGAGCAAAAGCAGCATCTGAAAGAGTTAATGTTCAGGAGCTCTTAAAGCACTAATGTTATAACTGGTGGGTGCATATGATTAATTCATTTTTAATAAATGTAATTTCTAGAAGGTAATTTAGCGTTGGAAGAGATGGAGTTACGCTTGCAGAAGTCCATGTAGAGCTGAATGTGTATCCATTAGCTGAGCCCGTCCTGTGATCACCAAGTCAGTTAATAGAGTATGACAGGGATATCGGAGATTTCCCTTTTGGAAATGGAGGCTGAATATCCTTGCTAACTTGGCTCACTAAAATTCATTCAGCCAAAATTTATATGGATACTTAGTGTGTTTTCCGGAACTGAGGCTTTAGCATGGACTTTGGTATTTAGTTTTGCTGTTTTCTAAAATAATTTTTCTTTACAGCAGTAGGCTATCTAAAAGATGAAGAATTGTTTCTCATTCCCTTCCATCTACTCCTCCAAGCTCTTTCAAATTACTGTTTTACAGCCCAAACTGAGACACGATGTGTGATGATGATGAAACCACTGCCCTTGTTTGTGACAATGGGTCTGGTCTTTGCAAAGCTGGATTTGCAGGAGACGATGCTCCAAGAGCCGTGTTTCCATCCATTGTTGGACGCCCTCGACATCAGGTCTGTTGGTACCAGAATGGAAGTGCTGCCTGCTTGTATTTGTGAGACTTGTGGAAGTGATAAAGGATTATTCAGGCAAATCTCCTATTTGTGGGAACTGAGCTTGTTAAGAACCAGGTAGTTGAGCTGCATATCTTTTATGCAGTGAGCTTCCGAGTCCTTTGGAAAAGGTATTCTTCAACTATAAAATGTTGACTGTAGAAGAACATGAATGTTTTAATGATGTGGAGGTGTCTTATGGGAAAAAAACCCA